GTCCCCGCCGCCATGATCTGTGCCTTCGGAGCTCTCAAAGAGCTTTCCCCCTGACATCAGAAGAAGCCCTTTGAGAGCTCCGAAGGCAAAAAGGCAGAGGCAAAAAGGGCAGGAAGGCAAAAAGGGCAGGAAATTCCGAAGGCAGGGCTTCCTCTGATGTCGGGCAGAAAGCCCTTTGGGAGCTCCGAAGGCAAAAAGGCAGAGAGAGAGAAAGGGCAGGAAATTCAAATTTCCAACCCTTTCTCTCTCTCTGCCTTTTTGCCTTCAGAGCTCTCAAAGGGCTTTCCACCCGACATTGGAGGAAGCCCTTTGAGCTCTGAAGGCACCAATCACGGTGGCAGGGACCCCTAGGGAGGTCTCCCATGGTGACGGGCAAGCCCTGGGAGACATCCCTGGGGGTACCCGCCGCTGCGATCGGTGCCTTCGGAGCTCTGAAAGGGCTTTCCCCCCAACATCGGAGGAAGCCATTTGAGACTTCTGAAGCCAAAAAGGCAGGGAGAAAGGGCGGGAAAATGGAATTTCCAGCCCTTTCCCCCTGCTTTTTTGCCTTTTGAAGTGCTGGAATGGATTAATTCCGTTCCCATGCATTTCAATAGGAAATGGTACTTCGACTTATGAACTTTTTGACGTACGAACATCGTTCCAAAATGGATTGAGTTCGTAAGTCAAGGTACCACTGTAGTTGTAAGAAGACACAATATGACAATCAGCATACAGTATGATAAAGAGTGTTTTAACAGTGTAAGAAGAGATAAAAAAAGGAAGATCAGCAAGGGCACAAAGATAAAGATAAATCAGAATCAAAAATAACACCTAATCATGCACATGAAAGAGGAGTGAATCAGAACACAGGGGGGAAAGAATTTGGAAGAAATCTCAGTTTTGCTGAGATTTTAGTCTGAGAGTATGTCCATACTTTATGAACTGAACAAAGTATTCAGGATGAGGTATTTTGTAACTACCTGTTTTCTATAAGCTTATTGTATTTTGTGTGTTGGTCAGGGGAGATGTTCTTTACTTTAAAAATGGAATCATGTACAACTATATGCCATGTAACTGAGATAATATCATTTATGGCAGTTTTGGAGGAAATTTAACTTTTTCTATGCCCCCCCCCAAAAATTGTTGGGATTCCTAGGAATCCCTTGCATTCCAGGGAAACTCTGTGGAACAGAAGGGGGGTTCTTTAATGTCAGAAAATCTATAAGCTTATTGTATTTTGTGTGTTGGTCAGGGGAGATGTTCTTTACTTTAAAAATGGAATCATGTACAACTATATGCCATGTAACTGAGATAATAGCATTTATGGCAGTTTTGGAGGAAATGTAACTTTTTCTATGCCCCCCCCCCAATTGTTGGGATCCCTAGGAATCCCTTGCATCCCAGGGAAACTCTGTGGAACAGAAGGGGGGCTCTTTAATGTCAGAAAATTGCTGCTGATTTAGGATCAGAACAAGCAGTGGTAACTTTCCGACATTAAAGAGTATGACCTCATTCCATAGTTGAACCATCTTTGTTTATGTTAAATATCTATGGATGATGACACCATTTGAATTGCATGGGAGAAAGTTACACAACAGGATTCAGGCCATTAACACATTGCTTATATTCATAAACAGACATACAGAAGTCCATTTACTGTGATGGATAGAATTATCTTTTAGTACAGCAAATATATAACAGGCTTATCAGAAAGCTCTGCTGTGCCAGAGAAAATGAGGTACTGTTTGAAATCTTGTGGAAGTAACTACATGACTGGAATGCTGATGATATAATCTATTGGGAGTGATTTTTGGAAATTAAACACCTCCTACTTCTTTCCCACACCTCCCATAGAATTCCTTATATATTGTGTGGAAGCTGCAAGATGGGAAAAGGAAGTCTGCTCGCAATAATACTATTCCGGTGGCAGTGGTTTTTTTGATAATTACACTTCTTCCTCCAGTTCTGCAACTCCCACAGCTTTAAAGTGTTGCAAGGGATTGCATGGGAGCTGTGGGACAGATATAGGAAGTGTTTAATTCAAAAAACTGCCCCCGCTAATGATATCACTGATCTTCTGCAGGTATAGTTATGCCAGCATGGTTTCACCCAGATTTTCTAGCATAAGAAATTATATTCTTTCCCCAATTTCTCTTTGTTATTTTTAATTTAGGGAACAGCGGTGGCTGCAGGACCAGAGGAAGACGAGTCCTCCCTTCCAATGTTTCTTGCAGAGCTAATTTTAGAGATCCATGCACTACTGTATGAACCATCTTCGGATGAATTCCAGGTTTAAGAGCTGTTTTACCTAATTTAAGGTTGCTGTGTAGAAACTAGTTGCAAGCATGGTAATATGATTTCTATGCTTCCATGCAGAGGTGAGAGTAGAACTGACAGATATGATAAAGCATTTGAACAGGTGTAGGTCTGAGTTGCGCTGGGATTTTAAGAATATGCTTTTGATTGATGGGATGGTCTTTTAATATGTGGAACAAATGTTAGAAATTGTTCTATTTTCAGTTACTTCCAATGCAACAGACTTTTTAAAAAGAGATTTTTTTTCCCCCTGATTACAGGACGTCATGGCGGAGATTGTTGGTCAGTTTCAGGCAACTGTGTTATCTGTTGCAAACCTTGTTCCTGATAGATACTTTGATGCTTTCACTCGTCCCGTTATTAACAATAAGATAGAAGAAAAAACATGTGGTGATGGGCCAAGCTTATCAAGTGTGTTTAAAGATGATAAACATCTCGAAAATATTATCTTGCAAATAAAGGTATGGAACACCTGTTGGGAAATTTGTTTACCTTAATTTCATTTGTATCTTAAAGATCTTGCTGAAGGACCTGTTCAGAGTTCATGCATTCCTTGTCCCCCACCCCCTGTCTCTTTCAACTGAACCACACTGAAACACTAGCTTTGATAACCTGCGGTGAGACTAGGATCACATAATTCATTTCCCATTTGTTTACGTAATTATCTGTATATAATATCCTTGAGAAAACATATTGTGATATTTATTGAAGTGAACAAAATCAGAAAAATTATGAAATGAAACCAAAAATATAATCAGGGAACAATGCGAAAAGTTACCTCTGTAGTCAAAAGAAAAGTCTCAGTGAGTAACTTATGAAACTTTTAAAATTGTTAAGGACTTCTCAAGCAAAAGCAAATTGGGACACAGTTAGCATCAGAATCTTTAATGCAACTTATCAGCAACTTACCAATAAGGACAAACAAAACTGTGTATTAATTATTGAAAAGAAATAGAAAAAGATGACAAAAAAGGAACAGCAAGAGATCTCTTTCAGAAGATCCAAGAAATTAGAGGGAAATTTTAATCATGTTTAAAGGGGCCAAAATATCAACAGGGGGTATATATTACCTGATTAAAATAAAATACAAAGAAAATGGAAACAATATACAGAGGAGATGCAAGAGTGTCAGATTCCTTCAAATGTTAATCTATTAATTAATCTCTATTAACCTGCCATTTTCTCAAAGTACTTGGAATAAATAATCAGGAATTGATGGGCTACCAATACAGCTACTGTATTTCAAGATAGAGAGAACAAATCTATTAAAATCCTAACAGGAATATGTCAAATCCAGAAAACAATACAATGGTCCATAAATTGGAAGTATTCAGTATATTTTCCAGTCCTAAGAAAGGACTGTATGTGGTAGCTATATGATGATTGCATTAGTTTTGCATGCAGGCACAGTGATACTCAAGAGTTTATAAGAGTTTAAAAGAACTACTGATGAAGGTTAAAAGGAAAGTGTGGAAACAGAATTACAATTAAACGTTAAGAGAACAATAAATCATGACTACAGAACGATTACATCGCTTTAATGATGTCAATGAATAAATCAAAGTAGTTAAAGATTTTCTGTACCCTGATTCAGTCATTAATCCAAATGGAGCCGGCAACCAAAATATCAATGAAAACTGAGACTTGGTAGGGCACTGTGGAAGAACTAGAAAGGATCCTTCAGTGTAAGCTCACCCATACTATAATATTCCTAATTATTATGTGTGGATGTGAAAGCTGGTCAGTGATGAAAGCTAAGAGGGAAGAAGCAACTTATTTGAAATGTGATCCTGGAGAGCAGCTTTATGAATGCTATGAATCCCCTAAAAGTTAGATAAATTGCTTATAAATGAAACTGAGCCTGGACTCCTCATTTGAAAGCTAACACAAAAATGACTCATTTTCTTGAATGTTTTATGAAAAGGCAACAGCCACTGAAAAAGGTGATAATACTAGTAAAAACAGAAGGCAGTTGGAAAAGAGAAAGGTCAAATCTGCAATGGGTTGACTCAATCAAAGAAGTCATGACCTTGACTTTGCAAGACTTAGAGCAGGACCGTTCATGACAGGACCTTTTGGGGTCATTAATTCATGGGGCCTCCACGTCAGAAACAGCTTGATGGCACATAAGAAGAACATGCTGTAAATAGCACTCCTATTACAATTACTAAGACATAGGATTCTATGTAAATTTAGTTTATAGAGGGGCATAAATTGTCTAATAGTTGTTGCTGAACTACGTGTTTTTAAAAGTATCTGTGCATTTCATGGACACATTTTTTAAAAAGATGGATAGCTGTTCAGGGCAAAGTGTCAGTTATTCAGAGCTCAGTGCACTGGCACTGGAAGCTTTTCTTCATATGCAAACAGCAACTTCAGAATAGCAGGATGGTGCCAAGAGAGAAAAGGGTTACATTTCTCCTTTCTGCCTGCTATGATTTCGAAGGGTGGGGACTCGTGACTCGCAAGTCCCTGTTGAGTCGGACTTGGGTTACACTGGTGACTTGACTCTGACCCAACTTGGACCCATTTGTTTGAGTCACATTGTTGAGTCCCTATGGGCCTGTCCCTGCCGCCTGCCCTCATCATTGGCCTACCTGCTGCCACAGCCACCATCTTCAGAGACAGTGGGCTGACTTCCATTTCCAGAGGCAGCTGGCTGTCTCCACCCACACATGTGCCAACCAGCTGATTGGCTGATGCATGTGCAGCAACAGGGGGCCAGCTCAAGTCCGACCCAGTCTCAGACTTGGGATTCGAGTCCCAAGAGTTGCCAACATCCTGGTGATTTCAGTGCTGTCTGCATTATTTGAAATGTGCACATAAAATGACACATTAAGCATTGAGTCTAATTTGTTCTGTGGGTAGTTGAGCCACTACCCATGTCGGTTTGCTTGTGACTAGACAGTTCACCTTGTTCTTTGTCTCTTATCATGCCTGTTTCTCTGCCATTCTTTGTACATGGAATACATACATATGTTCTACAAAAAGTGTAAAGCATCTTGAGAATGGGGAAGGGCAATAAAAGACAACAAGGAAAAATGGAAGTGAAAAGGATAGTACAGACATAATTTACTTTATGTTGATGATGATAATAATGGTATGATACATAGTATACATTAATAATTTTAGAATATGTTATTCTTAATTTTTAGGAAACAATATCTTCAACTTTTGAAGCAGCCAATTTATATGCAAGTACATTTGAAAATTTTCGATTATTTTTCAAAGAAAATGAAAGCCTTGACTTGGAAGCCTTGAAGAAAGAAGAACCCGGTAATGTTTTTTTTCCATATTTTTGTGTGACATTTCAAATGCTTTGTTATTCATACCACATGGGGAGCAACTTTGGTAGGCCTGGGGACAGTTCCTTCTGGACTTGACAGTTGTTCACATGCTCTCCTGAAATGCACTACTGAAATTTGGCACTAAAGGGGGGAAACTAGAGATATATTGTAGCAATCTGCTGCGAAAAGGCAACAGCAGAACACAAAGAGCCATTTAAAGCAAGCATTTCTGTTTATTTCCATTTGCACTTTCTGAATTGGTTAGAGCAACATCATATTAGTCTGTGCCCATGCAGTGATACACTGGCAAGATTCAATAGCTAAAGTAAAGAAGCCACATACAGCATCTGATTTGGAAAATAAAACTGTAGCTGTAAAACAAGTACTATCGTGGAGATGCACCTTTTTGTAAAGGAGAAATACAAATCCAGAAAGTTTGCATAAGTGTGATTCTCTTTTATAACAAGACATGTATTCTTCATATGACTTGTTTCACACCAATAGAAGGGTTTTCAACCAGCACTGTGCTGTAGAATGGTGGGAGGAGTAAGGTCTGGAGACTGCAGAAATGGTCAGGGAGATGTTACATGACTTGTGTGAGCAACACGCCAATTTATCAGTTAACTGAGTGGTTGAAGCAGCACTGTGCTGTAGAATGGTGGGAGGAGGAAGGTCTGGAGACTGCAGGAATGGTCAGGGAGATAGATGTTACATGACTTGTGTGAGCAACACAAGCCAACTTATCAGTTAACTGAGTGGTTGAAAAGAAAGCTTGCCGTTTAGATGAGAGCTTGGGTTTTAAATTATGAAAACTAGTAATTTACAATAATACTGGTTGTGAAATTGTTGTGAAATCCTAAGATTTTCCACTTTTTTGAAATAATTGTTTTCAGCTATTAGGTGCAATTAGTAATTAAATTTTCTTTGTTATCACAGGCTTGCAGTACTTATAGTCTAGTAGGAGAGCCCTCATCAGGGTACATGAGTAGGCTGCTCAGCTGATAGAAGTGAGCTTTTTGAAAAGTTACCTCAGTGCAAAATCAAAGCATACCTATACAGTTTCTGTGTAGAGATTGTCTTGCAGATGATGTTACTTGCTCATAAAGTAGAGCTTACATTCCTAATAGTTTCATTTTTACTGCATGTTCCTTAAACACATTTAAGACATACTATATATATATATATATCTTTCAGTCTACATATAATGCATTCTGAATCTTTCAAAAACCAAGTTTTTGCTGTGAATGGCTAACTGAATTTTTGTATATAAAATACTGTACACTTCAGTAGGTAGACTTTTCTGCTTAATATCTGGTAAGAGGAAACTTTATCTACACTTAGAACCCTAATATTTTTTTACAGTCACAGCTTTTTAACCTAAATGATGGGACTTCATAATCTAACACTCTACCTGAATAATATGAAGCTCAGCTCACCAGTTATATTTTATATACTTCTTAAAATTCAGAGTGAACTTGCTTCTGTCTTTATGTGTCTTCTGTTTATTCACTCATTCATTCATTCACATATTTGAATTCCTATATTTTGATCAGCAACGTCCAGCTATTTCTTCAGTTGATATTTTAACTAAGCTGCTTATTATTATTATTATTTTGGCGGGTAAAAGAAGCAGTTGCTCAGTAGTCTTCCCAGCAGTTTCATCAATGCAATTGAGCTTCTCAAGGTTTTCATAGATAATCTTCCTGAGATTTGTATAAAGCATTGTGAATAACCCAGAATACATTTGATTCCATCTGGAAAATGTCTTGTGTGTCTGTTTCCTTTAAAGTGCCATTACTTGTTGCAGTATCATAAGCAGGAATGCTTCTTTCTGTTAAAGTTCATGCTTTTCCTTCCACGTCCTTTGAAATGACTCCTCTTTTACACCTAAAGATTATGCCCACCTTTTTTTTTGCCCTATGCCTTTGCATTCTGGGGGTAGTGGAATGGCTTCTTCAGAACTCTTAACATTAAGTGCATTGCACAGAAAAGCAGTTTCTTTGTATCATTGCACCTTGCTGTCATAGATAGAAAGGTTTTAAGTCAACCATAAACTGATAGATCAGGGTCAGGGTTTTCGTCTTACTTGTCTATCACTCATTTGATGGATCTTCTGGGGAACACAACCTGTATTGCAGCCCTTCACACAAACTACCTGCTAGATTAATATGTTTAGGTCAGCTGTATAAATTGCATGATATCTTTTGTTCTAAAGAAAAGAGCTGTTGTGGGCAGCAACTGTTTGGACGGTGTCCTCCATTTCTGTAAGAGCAGTCTTTAGTATTTTTGGGTCAAGGTGAAAAGTCCCATGTCAGTAATACATCACCTTAAATTAGTAGGGGCACACAGAAGCAGGTTGTCAGACAATACAGGATATACATTTTTCAGAGGATTCCAGGCAAAGCAAAGAATGGCAAGAGAGTTGACTGCCAGAAACCAGCTGAGGAAGCTGACATAATTTATCAGTCTCAGCATGCTCTCCTGTGCATCCAGCTGTTTCCAGTTAGTTATCAAAAGACCTTGAGATGCTGATGTTGCTTTTGCTTGAGTCCTCTGAGTTTTCATTTTAAACAAATGGGCCTTGCATCTGCCAGGATTTCATCATCATGTGATGCCTCACTGGCAGAACTGGCCTTACTTACCCCTTCTCTCCAAGAGTGCTGTTGGCTGGACCACTGAGACCCTCCTGTTCACTGACCTTCTCTGGCTACAAGATACTCTCTAGCCCCTTTTGAAAGTGGCTGATCAAAATGAGGCATGGTTGAAGTTCAAATTCATCTTTGTTAGTCAAAGGAAACAAAAGGCCCCTACCGAACACCATTTTATTGCTATCATACAACCTATGTTGGATACCTTCTTCATTGACTGAATAGTGTGCTCAAACATAATTGTGAACAAGAATTCTTCTCACCAGGGGACATGAGTATCTAGCCTCCTCCAAAGAACCCTGAGCCTGCTTTGCTGCTAGCTCTGTAGAATGAGGGGATAGCTTTGTATCAAGAAGATGCAGAGAGGAATGGGTCAGGTTGCCAGGATTACCCTCTATTCTTTGTGTGCTCTTATAGATTCTTTGTCATTTTTACTGTTGCTTTTTCCCAAGATACAAACTTCTGCAAAGTTGACAAAAACATCCGTGTCTTGGTTTCATCATATTGTGGATTTGGTAGGGACTGCCTCCACCCAAAAGATACACAGCTTACTTAATTTGCCTCCACCTTTCCTATAGAACAAGTGAAAAAGACAACACACTACTGATACCCTTATTCTTTTTTGCCAATAAGACAGAAAAATGCATTTGTTTCCTGTTTTTTGAAAATATGATGCAACTAAAAATTCTTATTTAAAAAATTAGTAGATGTGTAATTTTATTTGCTATTATGATAAACAGATATTCAGTTCTTTGCTGATCGACTGGAGAAGTATCACAAACAACACAAAGAAGCTATAGCAATAAGGCAGAAGAGAAACCTGGGCTTGTTACTCGTAGATGCTAAAAAGTTGAAAGACAAACTAATTCCATCGCCAAAGCGCTGTTTGGAGGTACATATATCATTCTGTATAATACTGGACTTGTTTAGTTCCTTGCCTATTAATCCAGAGTTGAAACAGAGTTGTGTAAAAGAACTATAGTAGTTATTTTTTTGAGGCCACTGCTGGTATGCAGAGATTGGTTGCCAGATATCTGAGCAGAGGATTAGATAGGTAGAGGAGAGAAAGTAGAATATAAACAGATTAATTAAAAGACAGAATGAGTTGTATTCTGTGGTGAGATGCCTTGGCTCCTTTTTTTCTGTTAAAAATGGTACACTGTCAATTTAATAATGACATATGTGTCCTATAAGTTACATAGTGTTGGCTGAAGAATTGGTATGTGTAAATTAAGTAATATACTCTTGTAGTAATAATTTTCCTTGTGGATGTTCTACATACATTTTCTGTCTTCTTTTTTCTTTGATATCTTAGGTTATCAATGCAATGCTTCCTGTAATTGCCAAGAAAAAAGTGACTGCCATTCTAGTTGAGGCAAATGATGCCAAATTTAAACTTGAGTTTCTTCCATCTACAACTACAGAGTATGTGTTTAGTTTGACATTCCTTGATGAAATACAAGACAGGGTAAGTTCAACATTTTGTTTCCACTAGGTAACATTTATCAAGAAACACTGGGAAGAAAGTACTATTTGCTTTTTTCTTTTTGGACTCCCTTCATCCATTTTTGACGTTGTTGTTGCATGCTGTTGAGTTGCCTCTGACTTGTAGCAGCCCTATAAATGAAAGAACTCCAAAATGTCCTGAACTGCCCTGCTCCTGTAACTGTAAACAAAAGCCTGTTGTTTCTTTAGGGAATCACTCCATCTTGTATTTGGACTTCCTCATTTCCTGCTGCTTTCTATCGAAGCATTGTCTTTTCCAGTGAATTTTGCCTTCTTATGGAGTGACCAAAGTAGGACACCCTCGGTTTCATCATTTTTGCCTCCAGAGATAATTCAGGCTTGATTTGATCTAGGACCCACTTATTTGCCTTTCTGGCAATCTGGAGCATCTACAGAGCTGTCTTCCAGCATCATCTTTCAAATAAATCAGTCCCCCCACACCCGGTCAGTTTATCTTCACTGTCCAGCTTTCACACTCGTATACAGTATAGTAATTGGGAATAAAATAGTGTGGATGATCTTGGCCTTGGTCTCCAATGACACATTCTTACACTTGAAGATCCTTTCTAGTTCCTTAATTGCTGTCCTTCTTAGTCTCAGTCTTCTCCTAATTTCTTGGCTGCAGTCTCCATTTGGATTGATGATTGAACCAAGATAACGCAGAATCTCTAACTATTTCAAAATATATCTGTTTTTGAGATAGACATAGATAATTTACACTGTGAATTCTTTGTTCTAGTTGGCTTCCTATAAGGAATAAGAAGGCAAATAGATCCTGTTGGGGAAAAAACAAGACGTATCTAGTCCAGTGTTTGATTAGTCATAGTAGAAAGCCATAGCCCCTGGGGAGTATGCAGAGTAAGTGTGGTTCATCTTTGTGACACATTTGGACAGGCAGCTATAATAGATATAGACATATCTTGGTCCATTCTTTCTCTCCCACATTTTGGATGTAGGATAAAGGCTGTGCTTGACATAATGTGTGTTCTATGGTAGAAATGGCTGAAGATGCTGCTTTTCTAAGTAATCTTGGTCACAAGTTTTTTTTTAATTCTTGGGTTTCTATTCCCTGTAAATGTCTCTTTTAAAACACACAGTTTCATATTTACGTAACATCCATAAGTTTAGAATTCTAAACATTTCCTTTGAATTACGTTGTAAGGATCATGAATTTGAGACTGCATCCCCCACCCCCCGAAAAGACTGGTAATAGAACATTGTGACAAGTATCCTATTGTTAATCTCAACACAAGAGTATACACGTGAAATCAATTGTTGAATGATAAGTGAACACTTTTGTATACCTCCTGAGTCAGTGGGTCTGCTGCAACTGAGACTATCAATAAAATACTGGCTAATTGGTTTTTGCTGTTGGTAGGTATTATATTAGTACATACAAATATGAGAAGCTATATAAGTGCCTATCATTATAATGATAAGAGTGTTTGTTGAAAGTGGCCTTGTATTGTTGTAAGAATTCACTGTGTGAGAGCCAGAAAACCCAGCATCAGGCAGACTTTTTTTATCATCACAACCAACATTCCCTCTAATTTTCAGCCCTGCTGGGCAGGGGTTTGCCCCTTATGTACATGACTTTGCCTGTATATGCATGTGATTCCCTCCTGTGGGCTTCTGTCACCACCTACCCCCCGCGGGCTTCCGTCACAACCAGAACCAAAGGGATTGAAAACACTTGCTGTTGGTGTGCGGAAGAGGAGTAAGCTGCGCAGAGGGGGCAGAATCGCAGGGACGTACCTTAGGGACCCTTGATCACAACCATGTTCCATGGCACAGTGCTTTCTTTTCTTTGTCTGAATAAATTGTACCATTTATTTAGATGAGAGATTATCATTATGGTGTGAGCTAAACCTGCTTGAAATCTTTGCCAGTCTTTGGTCATTCTTTAAGACTTGGTTAGTATCAACAGAAGCATCTCCTTTCACCCTCATGCCTTTGTTCCGAGTTTGTTGGGATTTTTGTCAGACCTCGATAAGCTAGAAGGTTGTAGCATGATTTTTATGTAGGTATAGATAAAGAGAACCTGACTCAATAGCTCAGTGAGTTAGGTATCTTGCCATAAAGCCAATGGTTGAGTTCGATTCGCCACTGAGCATCCTAGAAGAACTGAACTGTGTGGCCTTGGGCAAGCTGCACAGTCCTAGGATGCCCCCAGGAGAAGGAACTGATAAACCATTATCTCTCTAGCTAGAAAACTCTAAAAAGGGTTGCCATAAATCAGAACTGACTTGATAGCACATAATTATTCATTATTATACTGTTGATGAAAAGAATCTGTCTTGACACAATTTAAAGGGATCCGGGAATGACTGTACATCTGTTTTTCTTCTTATAATTCATATTGTATTTACTGAATTTAAAATTGCTGGTGATAGCAGTCTCAGTTGACGATTATCTGTGAAAGTATGTTTCCAATAAAAAGAATAATTGTTTCCCTCCACAGATTGAAACTCTTGAAGATGAATCAAAAACAGTAACACAGATGTATCGACTTATTGAACTCTATGCAGTACCAGCTCCTCCTGAAGATATTGCCTTGTTTTCAAGTCTTAAACCTGGTATCACTGCTGTTCGCAATGCAATTGACAAAGCTGTGGGTGAGAGAGATGCCAGCATCGCTAGATTCTGCCAACTTTTAGATTACGATGTTCATGAACTAAATGAAGAAGTTAAACTAGTTAAACGTGAAGCACAGGTAAATAAAATCTCTCTCTTCGTGCAGGCTTTTCCTTAGTGACTGGCTGTCCGAGAGGGGTTTTTCAAATTGGATTTTTGTGCTCTGTTGCTTTTAAATGTGTTTTTAATATTGATTTTGTTTACCATTTCTAATATGCTACTTGTTTAATTCTTTTTCAATATTTATATACTTACTGCTTTAAGCTTTTAAATCTTGTCTTTTTAATGATGTACCACCTCGGGACCTTTTAAGGAAAAAGGTGGGGTAAAAATATGTTAAACAAACAACTTATTATGTGTCTTTTTATGGGGAATGGTCTTTTATTAAATTTCTTATCCAGTTTTATTGGATTTCTTAAATGATTTGCCTTAAGGCTATCAGACTTCTGCCTAAGAATCTGCAGAGAACTGAATGCCAATCAAGATAGATAGCACTGGGCTCACTGAACCAGTAGAATAAGGAGTGATATTAAGTCCTTTGGATTTTAGATTTGGTGCTGTGATTGTATTTTATTTATTTTCAGACATTTACTTTGTGATAACATGTTGCATAGGAGTGACTCTGCTTAGTAAATAATTTTTAATAGCGATATTAACAAAGGATTAAAGGATTAGTCATATGAGCTCTGCCCACTAACTGTCACAAAAAAGCAAATGTTTCTTCAGGCATTTTGTTCCCAATGTAAAAAGTTAATGAAATATTGGCAGAGCCATCTATTTATTCATTTGTTTGGTTGTACTATTTGGTATCAGCTTTCTACCAGAGCCACCTAGATAGCAGCAGCAACAACAAAAGCAAACAACCAGCATAAATTAAAAATACAATTAAAATAGTGTGTTTTGACACCTTTTCTAAAAGCAGAGATGTATGGACCATTTGCAGCTTGGATGAGAATTTATTCCACAATTTGGGAACAGTTCAGGGGAAAATTCCCTCACACATGCTTGGTGTGTAGGCCTTTGTGAGTGGTTATTATTCTCAGAAGAAAGTTATAGCTCTTCTATAACTGGACAGCTTCAGAATGAGTCAAGTGATCCCTGCTATGTAATGCATCTCAGAGATAGGCTAGGGATAGGAAGCATCAGGTTTTGAATCGAATTTCACAGAATAAAGTGGGCAACATGACCAGTGTGTATTCTGGGAAATAAAGTACAAAACATTTCCCATTGTTGCATTTGTTCAAGTACTGGAATAAGCAATGACCAAGTCCTATATTACTTTATAAAGAGAAAAAAATAATACAGTACAGGACTTTGGAACGTCTTTCACTAAAGATTCAAGCAGAACATACTGTGTATGCATTGTATGGTGCATTAGGTGGAAGCTGTATGCTCTACTTATTTCAATGTTACTAGCTTGGCATGCATCACTTTTACTTCTATGAAAGCTGAATATAAAAACAACTGTATTTTGGCTTTTAATAGGATCCTCAGATTTTGGATATAAATGCTGACCAAGACAGAGTGAGACAAATTCTAGAAGAGATGCAAACCATTCTTGATGATCTACAGAAACGTGCATTCCAGTATAAATCATATCAGAAGAACTTCAAGGTAACTTGTTCAGAATTTCATGTATGTTTTGTTTATAGATGTCTGCAATGTGATCTGCAACATGAAGCACATCAGGACTTATTAGTGGAAAGTGACTCATCTCAGCCTAACCTACCTCACAGGGTTGTTGTAAAGATGAAACTGGAGATGGGAGGGGAGAATGTATGCCTCTTTGAGCTCTGCTCCAGGGAAGGAGGTCATTCTCAACAGCATGTCTTTTTAGCCCTATCTGTTCTTTCAGCACAGTGGGTGACAAAGCAGAGTGCTGCTGTCCCTCAGTTGCTACTAAAGGTTCACAGGAGATTCTTAACCATTTGTTGCCCACTCCCTTCTTGTGTCCTGTTAAGCTTGGAGACTGATTTGTTTGCCTAGATGGTTAATCCATGCCAGGAATTGGATGGGGGAGTGTGTTCCTTTTGTTTCTGCTGGACCTCTCAACAGCTTTCGACACCATTGACCATGGTATCTTTCTGGGCCGTTTCTCTGGGATGGGACTTGGAAACACTGTTTTACAGTGGCTCCAGTCCTTCCTGGAGTGGAAAACCCAGAGGGTGATCCTGGGGGACTCCTGTTCAACACCCTGGCTGTGGTGTCCCTCAGGGATCTGTTTCATCTCCTGTGTTATTTAACATTTACATGAAACCACTGGGAGAGGTTGTTCAGAGTATTGGGGTTGGACGTCACCAATACACACATGGCACCCAACTCTTTTCCATCTAAATTTGAGGAAGCTGCTTTGGTTCTAGATCAGTGTCTGGTGACAGTAATGGACTGGATGAGGGCAACAAAAAAACACACACAAAAACAGCAACTTAATCCAGACAAGACAGACGTGGTTCTGGTCAGTCAAAAAGGAATAGGGTTGGAGTCTCTGCTGGATGGGGTTACACTGCCTCTGAAAACACAGGCTTGCAGCTTGGGGGTGCTACTGGATACGTCTCTGAGCCTGTTAGCTCAGTTTTCGACAGTGACCAGGAGTGCACAGTTAAAACTAGTGTACCAGCTGCACCCATTTCTTAAGAGGTCTAATCTGGCCATGGTGACACATGTTCTAGTTACATCTCATCTGGATTACTGTAATGTGCTGTACATGGGGCTGCCTTTGGGAAGTGTTCGAAAACTCTAGTTATGGTCCTAAATGACACAGCCAGATTGTTAACTGGGGCTGGTTACAGGAACATATAACTCCTCTGTTTCAGCAGCTCCACTGGTGGTTGATCTGTTTCTGGACAAAATTCAAAATGCTGGCTTTAACCTAAAAAGCCGTCTTAAGGACTGCATCTCCCTCTACGAGGCTGCCTGGGCATTAAGATCATGGAGGACAAGCTTTCTCTTGGCCCCCTCACCCTCATAGGTGTGTTTGGTGGGGACACAGCTGAGGGCTTTCTCTGTTAGTGCTCCCAGACTCTGGAACTCCCTCCCACAGGAAGCTAGGCTGGTCCCATCATTGCTGTCCTTCCACAAGCAGACAAAGACCTTTCTTTTCAGGCAGGCTTTCCCTCAGTGATTGGTGGCCTGAGAGAGGGGGTTAAAATGGATGGTTGTGGTTGTTGTTTTAAAATGTGTTTTTAGTATTGGTTTTATTTACCATTTTTACTATAATACGTGTTTAAGCTTTTAAATACTGTATTTTTATTATTGTAAGCCGCCTTGGGTCCTTTTAAGAAGTGGGTAAAAATATTATAAATAAATAAATAAGCAAACGTTTCTCTGATATTTTGGGAGCTTATGGAGGCTTTGGGGCTATTGTGCTAAAGGCAGCTTATGCTCAGAAAATTCTTGGCACTAAGTATGGATTAAATTAATATGCAGTGTTGAGTTGACCCCTTTTGTTAGTTTTGCCTTTCTTTTGCTTACTTCTTTAGCTTTTGACAAGTATTTTTAGTTTTTTCAGTATGTTTTGAATCAGTGGCTGAAATCCAGTAGTGGAACTGATGCTGAAACCTCTTTCCCATTTTAAAATTTTGGTTAAAGTATTCTTAACTACATATTCTGATATGTTTAATACTACTTCTAGGGTGAATGGGACCTCCACCTTACTCCTCTGAATTGGGAAACCAAGGAAATGTTGCTGCCAATATACCAATCTGCAGTCAAAATTATAGTTTTTAGATATTATTAAGGTCTGTGGTTCCCAACCCTGGGTCCCCAGATGTTCTTAGACTACAACTCCCAGAAATTCTGGCCAGCACAGCTAGTGGTGAAGGCTCCTCGGAGTTTTATTCCAAGAACATTTGGATACAAAGGCTAGGAACACTGAATGAAAGACTCAGACCTGAGTTTAGTTCCTCATAAAGCTAATTCTGTTGCCTTGAGTAAGTCATTGGTAATCAGCCTCATCTCTGTTACAGAAAAACCAACAGGATATCACAGCACCTTAAAGACTAAGTTTTATTTGGTGTAAAATTGGATAGATCCACCTCCTTGCTTTGAGGACAAAAATCTTTTGGGAAGAGCACGCTCTGTATGGTGCCCCAACCTCTTTGGAGAACGATCAAAATATAAATATGTTAGGGTTTCAAAATGAAAAAAAAAATCAGTTCAGAGCTGATCTCTAGATGAAAAACATTTGTGATCTTATGTGCTGGAGTGGCAAAGGCAGCTAAAATTGGAATGTTAGAAAACAGAACAAATAGGCCTTTCCTTGCACTTCCTCTCTTTATCATCATGCAGTTATGAAGATGGTACTGTGCTGGTGCATGAGTACCAGCAGTCTTGTCCCATTCTTGAGGGTATTAATCATTTAAATAATGTGCAAGCTATCTTTCCTCAAGCAGAAATGTTCTCTCTCTCCAATGTAAGAGTTAATTAAAGGCTCATTTAGTACAGCCATTTTCTCTCATGGTAAGAATGAACATAATTTTGAGGATTATAAGGATCTTTGTTAGTTTTTGTCACTTGTGTTCATAAAATATCGTAATTCTGAATTTTGTAATGTTGCTTAGGAAGATTTATGATTTAATCCTCATTTCCAGAATTCATGTCATTATTGTTCATATATAATCTCTACTACTTGAGAACAAAAGCAAAATTATTCAGGCTCAGATGCTCTCTCCTTCACCTCCCTCTTCTAGGTAATCAAGCTAGCTTTTTATTCCACTTTCAGGGAATATTATTTTCTTAGTTTTCCCCCTCAAAAGCACATGCACAATGTACTATTTTACAATATACATTCTCAGAAAATGACATTATTCTCTTTTGTTTCATTTCCTGAAAGGTGGAAATTACAAAATTTGATGCTCTGGAGGAAGTTTGTGCGGAGCTGAAACTGAAGCAACTCCTGTGGGATTCACTTTGTGAATGGGCGGTACTTGAAGAAGATTGGATGGAGGTAATTATGGATTGTTCTTAAAATGACTGTGTGTCTGTACTAGAAGTATGGTGTAATTTGTGTTTGGTTTAACAATCTTTTGGTTATACCAAAGGCATGTATACTTTGGACTTATTCTGTGGCTTCCCTCACTCATATATTAATTTGGAGAGAGGAACATAGAAAAGATTTAGGAAATCTTCAAAATGGGATGATGACTTTGTCATAAATTGCTATTTAAATATATAAGCCAGGGAATCTCAACAACAGTTTTCAGTATGCCTGCATACTTGTTATTTAACACTAAAGTCATGTTTTGCAGTAAAGCAGGTAGTCTTCATCTGGTTCAAGATTGGAGAGGACAGACCATAAGGCAAATCTTTTTTAGTGATTTTCTTTGTTCTTTTTCTGTTCAGAACTGATCTTGATTTTATACAGTTATTCTAGTGCATGATATTTTTAATGAGTCCATTCAGTTCAAAGACTAAACTACTTTTTTCTTGCTTATTTTCAACAGAGTAAATTTGATAGCTTGGATCCTGAGCTGTTGAATACTCAAGTTTCCAAGTATGCTAAGTTTGTAAATCAGTTGGAAAAAGGTTTGCCACCTAATAATGTTGTGCCACAACTCAAGGAGAAGGTGGAGAGAATGAAAGAAAAGGTAAACATGGTTTCTTGAAGCTGACTTTCTGTCATGGTTCAAGGAGGAAAATATGTAACTTTTCAAAAACCATTTCAATTTTTTTACTTAAACACATACTGATTTTCCACAGGGATATTGTGCTTATATGTGCCTCACAAATAGTAGTATTTTATGATTATTTGTTATTATTTGTGAAGCACTCTACCCTTGTGCAAAATTGCAGCATGAATCAGATTCTTGCTCACAAGATCACAACCTGAATGTCTAAGTGGAACCTAAGTGGAAGGGCTTGGATGTCAAAATGTGTATTAAATAAAGCCAAAATGATACATGTCTCAAGAAGCAAGAATAAGACAAAGAAGAGAACAGTTGCACTCCTGTAAAATTAAAACATGGTACAAAATAAGACTGGTGTCTTCCTGCAGTTGATAACAAACTTTTACTCTACTGGTGATAAACATGCTACCATACTGAAAAGCAGCCAATAGCATCTGCTGTTGCTGGTCATGTCAGGTAACTTCCCCCGCCTCTTTGAATTTGATCAATAGTAATTTTACTAGCTTTTATTCTTTAGAGTTCACACATCATGGAATACTCATCATAAATGAGTAATGAATTTATATAACCCTGGGATTTGTTTGTCCTTATTTTTGATGAAAGATGTAACAAAATTTTTCATCTTTATGTTCTTTTAGTGACTGAAAACAGACTTTTTACTTCAGTAATCTCTTCCTTGGGTTGTGTTCAGACTTAATCATATCTCAGGTAGAGTCATTAAAACAAATAGGACGGAGTGGAACTGAGGGGCTCAAGCTGAGGTGTGCCTAAGCATGTGCAGTGGAGGGTGGGGGAATGATTTCCACCTAAACTGCTTAGCTGTAGAAGGCATGAGATCCATTTCTGTGAGTCACAGAGACCACGAAGAACAGGTTACTCCCCTGTGACTGTGGTTCTTCTGGAACCTTCTAGAGCTGTGCAGTTTAAGTGGAACCCTGTCCCTTCCCACCACTGCACATGTCAGTGTACCTTGGCTCAATCCAGATGAATAGTCTGACAACCAGGCTATTGCATGGCAACCAGAGGGGAGAAGGCTGGATCAGGTCCGTTCACAGATGGCCACTCAAAGAATCAGAGTCATAGGTAAGCAACTTGTTGTTCTTCAATCTGTTCTTATGCTGTTTATTATTAATTGATTCCAGCCTCATGGATTCCAGTTGGTTTTCTCTGAGCACGTGAGCCCAGATTTTATCCATAATATCTGCAGTTTGTTGGTGGTGTTTCAGAATAATTTTTTGCTTTATATAAAAAAATTAGAAATTAGAAAACAAGTCGTCTCTTGTGATCAAGGAAAAATCCTGACCAACCATAAGCATGCAGGGAAAGTTACAATTGTATGTTTTAAAAACTGCATCCCTACCATGATGCAGTACAATTTATTAGTTTAAAGTTTATATGGAGCTTTGTCCTATTCTTCCTATCTTCACATCTTCTTTTCTCTCTACATTAGAAATCTCACAAAACAATTTTTATTTATTTACTTAAAATATTTTACTCCACCTGTCTCCTTGAAAAGGACACAAGGCAGCTTATAACAGTGAAAGACAACATTCAGAATTAAAAACAATGAGTATACAAATCATTAGGCATTCTTCAGTCTCGAAAGACTATAGTAACATGCTTTGTATGGAGGAGTTGGAACAGCGTCTAGTATGGCTGAGAAGGCCAGTTCGAGAGTGACAATCCCTTCCACACTAGAGACAAATCCAATCTGTCCCCTGTCCAGCTCCCTGGTTTTGCTTCCTTTGTGACTTCCTCTTTGCCTCGACCTGCTGGACAAGGGTCTCTTCAAATTGGGAGAGGCCATGATGCACCGCCTGCCTCCAGGCTGAACGCTCAGATGTCAGGGTTTCCCATCTGTCGAGGTCCATTCCTAAGGCCTTCAGATCCTGCTTGCACATGTCCTTGTATCGCAGCTGTGGTCTCCCTCTGGGGCGATTTCCCTTCACTAATTCTCCATACAGGAGATCTTTTGGAATCTGGCCATCAGCCATTCTCACGACATGCCCAAGCCAACGTAGACGTCGTTGTTTCAGTAATGTATATATGCTAAAAATTCCAGCTTGTTCTAGGACTACTCTATTTGTAACTTTGTCCTGCCAGGTGATACCAAAAATGCGTCAGAGGCAATGCATATGGAACATGTTCAGCCTCCTCTCCTGCCATGCACAAAGGATCCAGGACTCACTGCAGTACAGGAGTGTGCTCAGGACACAGGCTGTATAGACCTGGATCTTGGTACATATGTTGTCAGCTTCTTATTGAGCCATACTCTCTTTGTGAGTCTTGAGAACATGATAGCTGCTTTCTCAATGCGTTTATCCAGCTCGACATCTAGAGAGAGGGTGTCAGAGATTGTTGAGCCAAGGTACACAAAGTCATGAACAACCTCCAATTCTTGTGTGGAGATGGTAATATACAGTGGTGGTTAACATTAAAAGACAACATTTAAAACTACAAATAATGGATAATGAGGTATCTTACGTCATTAACAGGCAATATTGAGGCAAAAATCAATACGTATACAAAAATTTAGTGCAGCAAGATCAGCAACGATCACAAGATACTGCTTGTGTTACATAGATTGCCTTGAACATCATTCTTCTATTCAACACCTAGTTTACAAATAAGCTGTGTATTTTTCATAAGGAAAGGTTTGATACAAATCTGTGTATCTTGCTCTTTTAGCTTCCTGTCATCACAGACCTGAGAAATCCCTTTTTGAAGCCCAGACACTGGGCAATTCTAGAACAAATAGTTGGGGCACCATTAATAGATATGGAAAATCCATTAACCCTGGAGAGACTTGCTGAAATCAATGCTTTTGACTACACTCAAGAGATCCAAGATGTTTCTGGACAAGCTTCAGGAGAAGCTTCCCTGGAGACAATTCTGAAAAAGGTACTTAAAATATGCATTTGGATGAAACGCCTTAATCCTGAATCTATGAGATAAGACTGCATTTACAAGATTGAAGTTTCAGTTCCTTGTGCACTTATTGGATTAGGCTTCATATGCTGTGATACAAAAGCATAGGATAAAGACTGAAATTCCAAGAACCTAGTGAGAACTGCTTCCAAGTGTATATGTTGAATAGTATGCTTTTGGAGTATGGAAAGTGGCTGCAGTTTGGTAAATATGACTGAGATAACAGACCATAAAGTAAGTTGACCAAAATATGCTGCATAACAATATGGATTTAGTAATTTTTTAAAAGAACTAAATATTAAAATTGAAAATGATAGTCTTTGTGCATTCAGTTCTGTTAAAAAATGTAACAAAGTCAGTTTTACTGTATAGAACATGAAAGACTTCTCCAAAGGACATTTCCACCAGTGTTTGAAAGTGTCAGTTTAATGAAAAGACTATTAACTAATACAGTACGTTTCTATTTGTAATGTAACACTGCTTATGAAGCATATTTTGAATTTTGCATGCTAATGTTAAAATTATTGTTTTTCCCATTAGGTGGAAGATGCTTGGAAAGCAACAGAATTCATTGTTCTTCCTCATCGTGATTCAAAAGATGTTTTTATCCTTGGTGGCACAGATGACATTCAGGTGGGAAAACTCTTTGAAATCTGGCACAATGCTTTCAAGCAAAAGCCTTAAAGTGTTTTTAATGGCCTATGTTTGTATTAGAATTATAGTAATTCTTAAAATGTATATGTTTTCATTTTGGTTGAATAATTTTATTTTATATTTTAAATTAAACTGTGATGCAGGTTTTCCTGTGTAATACGTTTTGGTGGTATCAATGTTTCTCTTAGCTGCTATGTTGCGAAGCTGTGTGTTCAGTCTAGCTCTGTTTAAGCCAGATGTATCGTTCACATGGCTGCCTCATTCATAAACAAAGCAGGGTTCTGTTTTACATGACCAGTCACATGAAGGGAGAGACACCATCATTTCTCTTTCAGTGCAAGTGCATTGCCTTGTCTCAGTTTTAGTAATGAAACATGCAACTTCCCATTCCAGGTCAATTCAAGCTTCAGGCCTGTGTTTCAAGTCAAGTACGGCTTTCAGCAAGGGTGAGATAAGGCAGAGCAGTGAGGGGTTTCCATTCCTTCTCCTCCATATTCATTTTCATTTAAACAACAACAACCCTCCATCCTCCGTTGTACATGAATAGGGTAGATGCATGCATCACATCCAGTTAGGCTCCTATTTGTGTTACAGTTGGAGGAAAAATCTGTGCAGTTGTTTAACATTTTAATTGAAAGTGGTAGGCTGGCAACTCTTTCCGTTTGTTTGTATTTTTAGAAGTAAGCTGTGTTCAGACTTTTGTTCAGAGCTAAATATTGATATGGTGAGCTAATTCAGAGGATAAAGTATATTGCAGCAATGTAGGTTGGCACTTGCTGTGCTGGCCAAACATACCACTGCGGGTTGACAAAAGAGAATAGTTATTTCATTGTCACTATGCCGCAGGGCAAATCAGTATTCTACAAAGCCATTCTAAAAACAGGGACAGCTGAAACAAAAAAAATTAACTTTGAAACGGGACTTTGGATCATCACCAAATTTGGCATAGATATAGCAGGCTACTCTTGCTGTGTGTCAGATCTGGGAAGGTTTGGGCAAAGATTTTTTGAGTTACGAATTTTTAAAAGTAAAACTGTTACCCCCACATGCAGAAATAAGCAACCTTAAATGTGACCAGATTTAAAATAGATCATACAAATTGAAAATAACCAGCCTTGTTTATTTCGAAAGAGAATGGGTTCTGTTTCACATTTTGATTTTTCCAGTAACTGACTTGTTTCAGATTTTCAGTTAAAAAACATTTCTGTACAACTCATTTTTTATTGTACTTTGTATGTTATATGCTGTTCTGCATCATTTGTGAGTATGAGAAGGTCATGATACACGTTGTTCTATAAATAAAATAAAAATGCTTTCATATACTTCTTTGTATATTTTTAAAAACGCCTATGTTGAACTATTGATAATATGTAAATAATTCAAGTGCATTTAAATTAATTCATTTATGAATAGGGCAAATGGCTAATGATTATTAACTAAAATTATTTAATTAATTTGTTGTTGTTGTTTAGTCATTTAGTCATATCCGACACTTTGTGACCCCATGGACCAGAACACACCAATTTAACTAATTAGCAGTCCATAATATAACAGGGTTAAATAGACCACTAGTTCTACCTAGACTTGACCCATACAAATTAATGGGATAAAGCTACCGACTTCAGTTCCATTGATTTCTGTGGGTCTGTTTTAGTACTGTGGGTGAATTTAGACTATTCTCATTTGCTTGACTAAAGCTTTATGACTTTGCATATTTTAATAGCCGCCCCGAGTAGACATGGTCTAGAGGGGCAGGGTAAATCCAATAAGTAAATAAATAAATTGAAAAGAAATGCTTAATTTATTGTCAGAAATTCTGCCATCAAAATTAAAAATGTTTTACTTTTCCTTCAAGGTCATTCTAGATGACAGTATGATTAATATAGCAACAATTGCCTCTTCACGATATGTAGGCCCTCTCAAGGCACGAGTTGATGAATGGCAAAAGCAGCTGTCTTTATTCAGTCAGACATTAGTGAGTACTATTTTATGAAATTTCTGGTTTTTTTGCTTTGTTGTTTCCTTTAAAAGAGAGTGGCAATGCAGAAAAAAATGGTCTAATGGTTATTGTGGGTTTTTCAGGCTTTTTGACCATGTTCTGAAGGTTGTTCTTCCTAACATTTCGCCAGTCTCTGTGGCCGGCATCATCAGAGGACAGCACTCTGAACCAGAGCACAGCGTGCTGTCCTCTGAAGATGCCGGCCACAGAGACTGGTGAAACGGTAGGAAGAACAACCTTCAGAACACAGCCAAAGAGCCCAAAAAACCCACAACAACCAGGAGTAGAAAATGTTGATGTTTTATATGTGTAGAATAAATACTGCACTGCTGCAGAATGGGAGGTGTAGAGGTCTTAATTATTGGTGATACAGTAAAGAAATATTTGCCGTTAAAAAAATCTTAATGTTTAATGTTTTTAATATTAACTGTACTAAACTTCCTAGTTCCTTCCTGAGTTGTTGTCACATTGGAAGTTAAAAACAAGGTCTCAAACATTAACAACTTCACTGGCATGATTTTCTCATAACCACACCTTTAAGACAAGTGAAAAGAGCTACTTGAAGATTGCAACAATAAGCAACAAAATAGTTTATTTTTTTCTACAAAATTTGTTGTGTTTTTCTGCTTTAAAAGATTGTTTAGAATGCTTTCATGTTTTCTAGGAAGAATGGCTGACATGTCAGAGAAATTGGCTATATCTGGAAAGTATTTTCAGTGCTCCCGATATTCAACGACAGCTGCCAGCAGAAGCCAAGATGTTCTTGCAAGTGGACAAGTCTTGGAAGGAAGTTATGAGAAAAGTGAATCGTCTTCCCAACGCCCTACGAGCAGCAACTCAGCCTGGTGAATACACATGTCTAAATTACATATTATTTCCATAAATTTTTTTGTTTGCATGAAAAGGGAAAATGCCATGGTATACCGCGAACCCGCGTAGAATCCAGCAGAGTTAGTATTTTCAGGTCTTTAAGGCGAAATAACACATGCAGACATATTCAGCTTTCTCCAGCACGTGTAGTTACGGCATATGTACGAGTGTAGAAAGCAGCAGCATGACAGCATGGCATCATCAAAAGAAGGTGGAGGGTACATGTTCTCTATACAGTGCATATATATACAGTTGAGCCTCTGCTCTTATCCAGTCACAGCAGGGTCATGCAATGTTGTACTCAGGTTGCATCATCCAAGGCACCACCTCTCCAGAGTCACTGTGACTCAGCAAATCACACACCTGTACAACATGGTAGCTCATTATTACTTCTGCTCTTTTCTGTTCAGGCCTGTAAATTTTTCAATACTTTGACAATAGCCATTAAAAAAACTCCAAAATCCACATTGTGGTAGTGCTATTAACAGGCCCACCAAAAAGCCACAAGAATGACTGGCCAAGCTGTCAAGACATACAGATCCTTCCATCAGGCAAAATATTACAAATAGGAAACAAGGGTGATGTAGGGAGGTGTCATGGGAAGAAGGCTTTGCAGAAATCCAGAGATTTTATCAGGTATTGAATTTTACCCAGAATGGCTCCTAGGCATACAGGAAACAGGTCAGGCAACAGAAAGCTGTAAACTTTGAATTTCAAAAAAGGCAAGTGACACATACCATAATCTAATTGTTTTAGTATAATTTTTAAAAAGTCTATAGTGCTGTGACTGAGCCCTCTTTTATCTTAATTACTGTTATCTCACTCATAAAATACCATCAATATTTTCTCAACACATTCTTACCCCATTTTGACTAATCATTGTGTATTATTTAAAAACAAAAAAGCAAGGTGTGCTGCTTATACACCACCCCATGGTGCTTAAACCACTCTCTGGGTGGCTTACAATTTAATTATGCAGGCTACACATTGCCCCCACCTCACTCTTTGAGCTGGGTATACAGTTTTCTGACTTCAGAAGAATGGAAGGTTAAGTCAACCTTGAACTGGCTATTTGAGCCCACGATCAAACTCAAGTCATGAGCAGAATCTTCACTACTAAAGTAATTCCCTTTAATTTGAGGTGTTGTCTCTGTTGTTTAGGACTATAGCACATGTCCTCTTGGAATGTAGTTTGTATAATACGTTTAAGGCTTCTTTTATAGAGCTGTTACTCATTCCGCTGTTGGGAAGGACAACTAGATTCTGTGCTGCATATTTTCTGGAAGGTAGACACAAAGTAATGACAGAACAAATAGCTAAATATATTGCTGCTGCTTTTAAGGGGAGAACAAAATAAGCTAGTGGCTGTAAATAAAAAAAACAACACTGGGAAGTAAGTGACAAATACGAAAAAGGTAGCACTATAAAGCTGAAATTTTGTGTACCTGTATTTCAACTGTTTGATGTATGTTATGAATAGGGTGTGTGTGTGTTTGTGTGAGTGAGTACATGATTACCACTACTCATTAATGAGAAGGTAATTGCATTTCTGGATGTGTACCCAATTGTGATTTCATTTATGCACTCCTTCCATTGACCAACCCTACCATGTAAAGGCTAAAATCCTGTATCTTACATAGAGTAGAATAGGTCCATGGAATCAGCGGGGATTTGGTGGGTCAGCTCATCCATAAGTTCCATTGATACAAGTGGGCCTACTCTAACTGCAACTTACTTTAGCATAGTAGCTTACAGTTGTAATTGATTAGGGCCATTTGAATCAATGGAACATAAGGGGGGAGATGACTCACCAAATCTCTTTTGATTCCACTCCTCTACTCTAGTGCAGTTTGCTAGATAACAGGGTTTGGGCCAATAAAGGATCTTGGTTTGCCATCACATGCAGTCTCTATACAAGTTAGAATCTTTCTAGAGGAATAGGATGAAAATATTGGCCACACTGCATGCCTCTATATTGTTGAATTAGAAATTGGAATGCTTATGCAAGTCACAAGGTGAGACACTGAATCAACAACTTTTTCAAACCTATTGGATTTCATAATATTTAGTATTATAGAAGGATAGAAAGTATAGCACATAACATTTAAAGTTTTTCATTATGTTTCAAATAATGTCCTCATTTTTATTTCTCCTTTGTATGTATGTCCATATGTATGCATATGTACATTTTTGTTGTCCAACTTTATTATTTGTTCTTTCTTTTGCACAGGACTTTTGGAGACCTTTCAGAATAACAATGCTCTTCTAGATCAGATTCAGAAATGCCTTGAGGCGTACTTGGAATCAAAGAGAGTAATCTTCCCAAGGTTTGTTAAAATTTTACAAGATACTTAAACCATTTGCTCTATGGATTTATTCCAGAGCTTTGGGGGCGGGGATCCTTTTCTGATAGCCAAGCTGACTGGTGTATTCTGCAAGTTTAATCTAAAGAAGTAATTTTTCTAAGCTCTGATTTATTCAGTATCATTAAGAGGTAGAAATCATCTTAAAGTTAGCTCTCACATTCAATATGAAATATACCTTGGAATTAAGCATACAATGAGCCTTTTTTCATGTATTCATTTTTAACGTTTTCAATATTATTTATGCACAGATTTTACTTTTTATCAAATGACGAGCTTTTGGAGATTTTGGCTCAGACTCGTAATCCTCAAGCTGTTCAACCTCATTTAAGGAAGTGCTTTGATTCAATCTCCAAATTAGAATTTGCTTATATGGCTCCAGCTGAGGGAGAAGAAAAGGTTCTTACGAATGATATATTAGCAATGTTGTCACCTGAAGGTGAGAGGGTAAGAAATTATTCAATTCTAGTAAAATGCCTATTATAGTAGATAACATGTTTGTATTTCCATGTGAGAATAGACTCATTCCACACTCCTGTAGAGTCTCCATCAGTAGAATCCAGACTATCCCATATGAGGAGCTGAAGTTGGATTTTCCAGTCAGTAGAGAGTTATATTTAAGTCATACATTTTAGGGTTTATTTTGGGAGAGAATGACAATCCTTCACTTCCAAGGGGGAAAGTACGTAAATCTATGGACACCTCCTGATTGGAGCAAGGGGCATCTGAAATTTTGGATTGATGCATCTCCCCTTCTCTGTCTATAAGTCACCCATGAGTAAATCTTCCCTACACTTGATGTAATAGTTCTTGAAATTCAAATCTGCTCATCTTTTCACATCTCCACCTTTAAATACAGTAGTCCCATTTTAGAAAGCTTCTAAAAATTTTATATGGCTTCAGCTGAGCACCAGAATATTACAGACGATGGGATCATTGATAGAATGATGGGAACTGATTGCTAAATAATTTATGATTTGATTGAGAGTAATCTTGTTTCTAAATGTTGAGCATTTCAAAGGGAACAAACATATGTGTACCTGTGCAACATTTAGAAATTACTCTGCAATAATATTGTTCATGCCACAGTGACCCCTGTGCAATAGCTTGTGTGATGTCATCGATATTTTGAATAAGAATATGCTTCCAAGTTATAAATATTAAAATGTTTGCTTTACACTAAGTGTAAGATTTCCCTTTTTAGGTTGGCTTAGGAAAGGGACTTAAAGCCAGAGGAAATGTCGAAGACTGGCTGGGTAAAGTTGAAGAAGCAATGTTTAATTCCCTCAGACGTCTCAGCAAAGCTGCCATTGCTGATTATCAGATAAAAGAAAGAGTAGAGTGGGTTGTTGCTGGACATCCCTCTCAGGTAACAAAATAAATTTACTGCTTTATCCTAGAGATGCTTTGTTGCTTGCTATAATACTCCCACTAAAATTGAATGCACCTACATTTCCAGAAGTGGAAATTTTGAAATAAGCACTCTGCATCTGTAGCTTGTCTGGCTGTGTACAGTGGTGCCTCGCTTAACGTCGTAAAGTGAAATAAAAAAGCCCATTGAAATGCATTGAAAACCATTCAATGCGTTCCAATGGGCTGAAAATCTCACTGTCCAGCGAAGATCCTCCATAGGGGCGGCCATTTTCGGTGCCTGTAGAGTGAGGAATCCGTCCGAAAACACAGCGGGGAGCCATTTTGAGCACCCGGTGGCCATTTTGAAAATGCGACGATCAGCTGTTTTGATTGTCGTAATGCGAAGAATCGGTCCCCGAACAGGGAACTGCTCTTCGCAAAGCGAAAAAATCCCATTTAAAACATTGTTTTGTGATGGCAATTGCGATCGCAAAAACATCATCGTGAAATGGAATCGTCATTATACGGGATAATGGTTAAGCAGGGCACGACTGTGTTTGCAACTGATTATACGATGGGGTAATCGTTAAGCGGGCACGACTGTGTTTGCAACTGCTTATACCAAGTGAAAATTAGGAACTGTTCACACAGGTGGTGGAGATTAACAAAATGACACTCTTGTACAAAACCCATTGAAGTGATTGAGGACAAGATAGTTGTTACACAAAAGCTCTGTACAGGAAAGGGTTTGGGCAACAAAGAAATCACAGTAGATTAATACAGAAAAAGCAATGTGTTGTTAATGAAAGTTGATATCAATTCTAGACACAAGAAGCATTTGCTTTTTTACCTACCTGTTTGTCTGTCTGTCTATCCACAGGTTGTGCTGACCATTTCTCAGCTGATGTGGTGCCGTGATTTGACTCAGTGTTTAGAAGGCGAGGATCATGATCATTTAGAGGCTTTAGAAGAATTTGAAAATGAGAACTTTGAGGTCCATACTCATTCCTTTTAAGGGATTCAGTGGGAGGGAACTGAAACGGATTGTGCTGATTTTTATACTAAAGTAGGTATACAGAAGGACTCTGGCATCTGCAAGGGATTGATTCCAATACCTCCTGTGGGTGCTGAAAACCATGGATATGCAAACCTTATATATAGCATAGTCTCTGGTTCCCTATAGTGCCCAGTTCTGGTAATTGGAAATGAATATTTCTGGGGTATTTTATTTAATATTTTCAGGTGGTGGATAACTGAAACTGCAGATACTGATCCTGTGGATACAGTAATTCTCCTGTAGCTTTTTAAAAATATATTCTCCTAGGTAAATATATGATGCATTTTCTAACTACATGACATTCAGGTTTGATATCTATAATGCAGAAAGATTTCAGGTTTGGGTGATGAGTTCTTTATCCAAATAACATTCCAAGTCAAATCCCTATTGCTCTGTTACATACTTAAGAAGAGGCATATCTTGAATAATACAGTTATATCAACATACTTTTATTCTTCCAGTATTATGACAGTATTACAATCAAATATGTTCACCCTAATGTTTAATATCACAAAGTGATTACAAGTTGTAAGGTGCTGTTGTAAGGTAGCCCATATTGCAGATGTATTTTGGAGCTAATAGTTCTAAATGTCTCATATAAATAGGGAATATAATTATTGTAATAAATACAATAATTTTACTGTTGTATGTGCAAAAAATATAATGACAGCACAAATGGAGCATGTGCACTCTTTTGATGGTATTTAGAGATAGGCATAATCACTGAATCAGTGGTTTCTGCCAGTTCTTTTTTTATGGCCCACCTCCTCCAGGTACTGTCTCTGAGTGAGTACCTGCCAGAAGAAGGGAGCTGGGAAGTGCCAAACACTTGTTCGGCTGAAAACCAAACTGGCACAAACCACCAGTTTGGTTGTTCGGCTGAAAACCAAACTGGCACAATTTTTATTTATTTATTCATTTCTGCCCATCCCTAATGGTATTCAAATATTAAACCATAATTCTGGATAGCTGCAAAAGTAATTCATTTTTGTTGCAAACAGGAAGCAGTCCTTGACTCACAGGTCCATTTATGTCAGAACTGAATACTGTACATACTGACTAGAGATGGGCACAAATCCAGATCATCAGATCATGCTGGATCGTTATATTGGCATCACAGGTGCTGCACAGTCCTGTTCCAAACCCCTCTGGCTGGATTTTCCCACTCATCAGCCAGCACACGCTCTGCCCCTGCTCCTCTTTGATCATTTCCACTTCTTGCAGCAGCTGCCCACTCAAAGGCAGTGCTGCAGCCGTCCCTGTCCCACCTCATCATCTGAGTGGGCAGCTGCTGGAGGAGGCAAAGAAGGGAAGTCTGTGCTCCTGCCACAACTGGTTAAATGATGAAAGAGGAGAAGGAACAGAGCACATTCCAATTCCAAATCTGGCCAGGGGGTGGGGGACAGGACCACCTGGTTCTTGTGGCACTGGTATGACAATCCAGCACAATCTGACAATCTGGATTCGTGCCAATTTCTTATACTGTCATAGTGGAAAGTGCAAGGAACACTGTTTCCTAAATAGGTAACCACTTTCATCCTGTTCCATAGTGATCTCAGAAAAAAATGGGTAAACAAGCATGCAGCTTTCAGTGCTGATGAAAATCACTCCCTACCCACTCCCTTTTCTTTGGCTCATTTTTGTTCAGGTCAGCTGAATGTGTGGACCTTTACATTTTTAAATGTTACTATATTGAATCAAGTAGAAAAATAATTGTAACATTTTCCTTATTCTGATTTTATAGAGATTAAATGCACTGGCTTCACTCGTTCGTGGCAACCTTCCCAAACTCCACAGAAATATCATAACAGCACTCATCACAATCGATGTACATGCAAGGGACATTGTTACTGAACTTGTAGCACAAAGGGTACAGTAGCATTGTTTAAATTGTATTTCTAGATTTCCACATTTAAAATAAGGATCTAATAAACATTTTATGTTGTGTTTTGTAAAGGTGGATTCTGTTGATAATTTTGACTGGCAAAGACAACTGCGCTACTATTGGGACCTTGATCTGGATAACTGTGTGGCTAGAATGGCCTTATCCCAATATACATATGCTTATGAATATCTGGGCGCATGCCCAAGATTAGTAATAACTCCGCTCACGGTAAGACCTTCATCTAATCTTCATACATGCCCCGTCAAATACAAGAGCTCTTGAGCCTTTTTGTGAGATTTTCTTATAAACAACCTCCCCAAAGTTCTTATTGCTGATATGAAAAGAGAGTTTTTACACCCACGTGGCTCTTTAAAAAACCACACACACACATGCACACACACACACAAAAGACATGGAAAGGAGTGCACTAGGCTAATAATGTGTAATTTCAATTCAGTGCTGTATCACTTGTCAAATGTGAAAAAAAGAGAAACAGATGGCAGTAATGGAGAATGGGTAGGATGGTGAAGGCACAGAAGAGAGTAGTATTAATATAGCAGGAGGCTTTGCTTCAAAGGGTAATTAAAATAGATTAAGAAGAATTAAATATTCTCATCTGTTTCTCCATTGCTGGGATTTTGATGGGGAGGCTGAGTTGTGGGGAGAGGAGGTAGAAGAGTCAGAGTTTAAAGAAGTATCATAGAAAAGGAGAAGGTTGCAAGGTTCTGGCTGTGACCAGAAGAAAATAGATGCCAACACAAGGTTGGCTGTGCAGCCCGATGCAGTGCTGCTATGGTTTATAAGATAGTAAAGCATATGACTATGCCATCTCATTCATCTTGATACCTAACCAGAACATGCATTTCAGCACCACCTTCAGTAGGGTGCTGACTCTCCATTGTTCCATTGGATTAATGGATAGGTTGGCTTGGGAAAGTGGTCAACAGAGGAGCAACTGTTGATTGATAAACTCCACTGCATGAATTGCAGATAGAATGAGGGTATTCCACTAATCCCACCTCCTTGTTGTTACATATGCAGCTCCCTGAAGATAGACAGTTGGGTTCTTATAATTCTGTCATATTTGATTCTAGTATTAAGTGCCCAAGCACTGACAGTTTTTACATGTTTAATTAGGATCGATGTTACCTCTGCCTTATGGGAGCATTGCAGCTTGATCTAGGGGGAGCCCCAGCTGGGCCTGCTGGCACTGGAAAAACAGAGACTACTAAAGATCTTGCAAAAGCACTCGCCATCCAATGTGTTGTGTTTAACTGTTCAGATGGCTTGGATTACAAGGTATGAAGTCCAGATATGTTAACAAAAATGTGAGCATGTGAATTAGCATTCTCGAGTATTTTCTTGTTATAGAGACTTTCAGTGCATAATTTTTTATAAACAGAAAAATATACATCAATTTTCTTTGCGCACAGAAATAGTTATATATTAGATGCAATAGAGAGTACAGGCTAGGCGACAATGAAACTTTAAATCAGTAATAGATAAATTTATGGAGATTTAAGGGAATTATTTTTCATGATGCCCTCTGGCTTTGATTGCAAGCAGAAGAACATATATGTTAACAATTTGGACCCTTAGTGTATTAGACTCAGAAACTGGCTGGCTGGCTATAGAAACAATGTTAGATGGAAATGATGGGCTAGAAGTATTTGGGAAAGATTTTGAGGTCACACTGTTGAATAATAAGTTGATTCTTAGCTGTACCTTGCTAAGAGTGGTGTGTTTCTGTCTCTCATTTGATGGGGTCAAAACATCAGTAGTACCCTCTCTTGCAACACTGCTGAATTGGTGGGTGGATGGGAACAAGTGATGCAAAAAGGAGCCTTCTGCTACGCAGAATTAAGTTGGAGGGAGAGATCTGTGAAGGCACCACAAGCTGCCTCTTAGCCATGTGAGTGGTTTCATTTTTGTTCATGTCCAGGTGAGCAGCATGGACAACAGTGATGCAAAAAACTAGCATCAAATTGTATAGTGTTAAAATACGATTACAAGTGAAGAATCACAAGAGAATGTGAAACAGTAATTTACAGTCGTAGTTTATTGCCCCCTTGCAAAAACAGTGAACAGTGAATTTGTTAAGGCTGAGAAGTGCAGACAAATATGATTTTTTTTGGTCATCCATTACATTTTTATCTTTAACAAAGTGTGAACATCAGTAGTACCCTCTCTTGCAACACTGCTGAATTGGTGGGTGGATGGGAACAAGTGATGCAAAAAGGAGCCTTCTCCTACGCAGAATTAAGTTGGAGGGAAAGATCTGTGAAGGCACCACAAGCGCCTCTTAGCCATGTGAGTGGTTTCATTTTTGATCCTATCCAGGTGAGCAGCATGGACAACAGTGATGCAAAAAACTAGCATCAAATTGTATAGTGTTAAAATACGATTACAAGTGAAGAATCACAAGAGAACGTGAAACAGTAATTTACAGTCTTAGTTTATTGCCCCGTTGCAAAAACAGCAACACCTGTGAACGGTGAATTTGTTAAGGCTGAGATGTACAGACAAATATAATTTTTTTTGTCATCCATTACATTTTTTATCTTTAACAAAGTATACATTTCAAAATGTAAGTACAATAAATACAGTGGTGCCTCGCTTAACGACGTTAATTCGTTCCAGCAAAATTGCTGTAGAGCGAAAACGTCGTAAAGTGAAATAAAAAAGCCCATTGAAAACCCCTCAATGCGTTCCAGTGGGCTGAAAACTCACCGTCCAGTGAAGATCCTCCATAGGGACGGCTATTTTCACTGCCTGTATAAAGCGAGGAATCCATCCAAAAACACAGCAGGGAGCCATTTTAAGCAGCCGGCAGCTATTTTGAAACCCAACTATTAGCTGTTTTTGATTGTCATGAAGCGAAAATTGGTTCCTGAAGCAGGGAACCAATCATCGTTAAACAAAAAAAAGTATTTAAAACAAAAGCAATCGTAAAAAATTAATCGTATTGCGATTTCATTGTAGAGCAGGGTAATCGTTAATCGAGGCACCACTGTAATATTTTAGCATAGAAGTTTTTACAATTCATTAAAATTTTTATCTTTAACAAAGTATACAAGCGAAAATTGGTTCCTGAAGCAGGGAACCAATCATCGTTAAACAAAAAAAAGTATTTAAAACAAAAGCAATCGTAAAAAATTAATCGTATTGCGATTTCATTGTAGAGCAGGGTAATCGTTAATCGAGGCACCACTGTAATATTTTAGCATAGAAGTTTTTACAATTCATTAAAATTTTTATCTTTAACAAAGTATACATTTCAAAATGTAAGTACAATAAATACAGTGGTGCCTCGCTTAACGATGTTAATTCGTTCCAGCATAATCTCTGTAGAGCGAAAATGTCGTAAAGTGAAATAAAAAAGCCCTTTGAAATGCATTGAAAACCCCTCAATCGTTCCAATGGGCTGAAAACTCACAGTCCAGTGAAGATCCTCCATGGGGCGGCCATTTTCACTGCCTGTAAAGCGAGGAATCTGTCCAAAAACACAGCGGGGAGACATTTTAAGCAGCCGGTAGCCATTTTGAAACCCGACGATCAGCTGTTTTTGATCGTCGTAAAGCGAAAATCAGTCCCCGAAGCAGGGAAGCGATCATCGTTAAACAAAAAAAGCATTTAAAACAAAAGCGATTGTAAAAACCTAAGCGTACAGCAATTTCATTGTAGAGCGGGGCAATCGTTAAGTGAGGCACCACTGTAATATGTTAGCATAGAAGTTTTTTTGCCATCCATTAAATTTTTTATCTTTAACAAAGTATACATTTCAAATGTAAGTACAATAAATAATATGTTAGCATAGAAGTTTAGAACAGTGCGTTTTAAGTATTCATCCCCATAGACCTGAGGACATGTAATGTAGTCTTCATGTTAGCTGAAAAATATCTTTTTTCGTTCTACATGCTACAAGAAATTTATTTTGCTTGAAACTTGTGTGATTAGAGGCACATGACTGAGTCCTGCTAAGTAGAATATTAATTTTTTCTTTCAGATGATGGGGCGTTTCTTTAGTGGCTTAGCACAATCTGGAGCATGGTGCTGCTTTGATGAATTTAACCGAATTGATATTGAAGTTCTGTCTGTTATTGCACAACAGTTGATTACTATTAGGAATGCTAAAGCTGCAAAGGTAATTTCCATTTCCGGGCATAATTCAAAGTGCTGTTTTTAACCTATAAAGCCCTAAACAGCTTGGATCCGAGCTATCTCAAGGACTGTGTCTCTCTTTATGAGCCTGCTCAGCTATTAAGATTACCAGGAGAGGCCTTTTTCTCAGTGCCACCACCCTCACAGGTGCATTTGACAGGGACATAGGAGAGAGTCTCCTCTGTTGCTGCTCCCAAACTCAGGAACTCCTTCCCACAGGAGGCCAGGCTGACCCCATCTTTGCTGTCCTGCAAGAAGGAAAATAACTTGGAGGAGGCCAGGTTGACCCCATCTTTGCTGTTCTGCAAGAAGGCAGATAACTTGGTCTTCAGGCAGGTTTTCCTTTAGTGACTGGCTTCCTTAGTAGAGTTCTTACAGTAAATGGATTGTTGTGCCTTCCTGCTTTGAATCAATTTTTAGTGTTGCTTTTGTCTACAGTCTTTTAGTGGCATCTGTTTGTTCTTCATAATATTTGTGAACTTACTGTTTTTAGCTTTTAATATTGTCTTTTAATGATATGAACCACTTTGGGTCCTTTTTGAGAAAAATATTGTCTTTTAGTGATGTGAACCACCTTGGGTCCTTCTTGAGAAAAAAGGAAGTGTAAAAATATTTTAAACAAATAAATATCCGTGCTTTCGGGACAGTGGATGCTTTGTTGCATGCTTTTAATTATTGTTTAAATGTAATTTGTTTCCTTATTTCTTTCAAAACAGTGGAAGGGTAAAAATATTTTAAACAAACAAATATCCATGCTTTTGGGACAGTGGATGCTTTGTTGCATGTTTTTAATTATTGTTTAAATGTAATTTTTTTCCTTATTTCTTTCAAAACAGCTGTCACGATTTATGTTTGAGGGGCGTGAAATAAAATTGATAATGACTTGTGCAGCCTTCATTACAATGAATCCTGGTTATGCTGGACGAACGGAGTTGCCTGACAATCTAAAAGCACTCTTCAGACCATTTGCAATGATGGTTCCCAATTATGCTTTGATCGCTGAGGTATCTTTCAAATTAATATAATAAGCAGCTGCCAAAGATGTTTTGAGAACAGTGTTATGGTAGGAGAATAATTCAAAGTGTATCAGTTCCTGTATTGAGAGCTGTTAACCTGCTTTATTTGTAACAAAACTAGATTAAAACCACTGTTTCACTGTGTACTTCAGAATCTCATCTTGGAAATGAGCGTTCATAATTTGGTCTGTTGACAAGATAGATCAGAGAACTGTAGACCCAATTAACCCTTTGTTCTTTGTCTTTTAACAATGAATGAATATATTTTTCATTCGTTCCCAACTATTTGACCTTTCAATTACCCTAAGAATGGGACTTGTGTAATTTCCATCCCAGAGAACCTTGAGCAGATTAGATAGTGTGATGCCTTTGTCCCAGGAGTTTAAAGTCACTTCTGCTTCTTCCTATAGACCCTTGCTAAAAAGGCCTTGTCCTGCCTTGCCTGTTCAGCAGATGTAGGGTTTGCAATTCTTATGGAGAAAGAGGGGAAGGACATAGTTATTTTCCTTGTTTATTTCAGTGTGTGTCACTAAACCTCAAACAGAAAGCACTGCCTAGTTTCTGAAGTTTTTGGAAACCAAACAATTTGTTACAGATGATCTATTGTTAGAACTAAAATAACGTTAGTGTTTCAGAGACTTGCAAGTCTAGGAAATCAAACTTGCAGACAAAGCTGACAATGAGCTCCAAAAAGACCAGTCACAAAATAAACCACACTAATTTGCATGTATTAGATAATAATCAAACATCTTTGGCAGCTAAGAAATTACCTCTTCTAATAGTAGGTTATCTGTAAGGTATGATCAGATTCTAGTTTCCCCACCTTGTTCCTTCCTAGCTTTCATGGTAACTCCTCATTATTTTATCACTGAGCAGACCATTTTTAGGTAATGAAAATACTTGTGAAAATTTACTTTTATATAGATTCTAGATCACAATAATTTGTCTCTGATTAATTAAGTCAAAACATGTCTCATAGCAAGAGCTGTGGGCTTCAGAGCAAGTAATAAATATAAACTATATTGTCTCCGTTTAGTACTACCATGCGTCATAACCTGTGCCAAAGCAAACAGAACACTTGGAATCAGATTTTATGCTTGCTTGATGCTCTGGTTATGCATAAACTTTATTTTTATATTTATATTATTTGTTTTTGTTAAGAAAAGCCAGCATCTCTCTCTTTCTCTCTCTTTTTTGTACTACAGGTTATTTTATATTCAGAAGGCTTTGAATCAAGTAAAACACTTGCAAGAAAGATGACTCAGATGTACAAACTCTGTAGTGAACAGCTTTCTCAACAGGACCATTATGATTTTGGAATGAGAGCTGTCAAATCTGTCTTAGTAATGGCTGGGTAAGAAAGCATATGCTGTATGAGACACTTTATACATATCTATAATTTTATTGGATTCAAAATTTGAGACTTTTAATTTACCTCAAAAGCACAAGACCAACATTTTGATTACACCTGTTGCATATGATTATTATGTGTTCACAGATATGGGCTGCAAAAAAATGAAAGTTCTGCAGGGCTCTGACACATACACTGAGCTCATGTTGTGCAGTTTTTTTTAAATATATCTTGCCTTGATTATTGGGGGAAAGGCCAGTGAACTGCACCGGTGGAAGATACTACAGTACAGGAAATGAGACTGCCCTGACCATATGGGTTTAGTGTAGATCTACACCTACTTATATTTTCAAGTTGTAGTGATCTATAGTAGACATATACAGCAAGCAGAACGCAGCCCATGGTCCTGAGGCTGTTTTCTGTTAAAAAATAAGGTTTTATAGATCTAATAAGCTGTGTTTGCCTTGGTGAGTATGAGTGTGTGGTATGAGTATGTCTGTGTTCAAGATCCTTCACAGTTGTAGAGATTTGCAAAAGAAGGTTCCAGACAGGAAGTAAGGGACTGCTGTATTATAAAAGCTGTTTTGCTGATCTTGTACAGTGTTATAACTGTATGATGATACAGTATGATGATAATGGATAACATGGTAATAGTAATGATTTTTTTTCCTATAATTTTAGGTCATTAAAGAGAGAGAATCCAGATTTAAATGAGGATGTTGTATTAATAAGAGCACTACGAGATTCCAACCTCCCAAAATTTCTTACAGATGATGCCATTTTATTCAGGTACTTTATTATTTATCACAAGATGTTTATTTTTTCATATATGAATTTGACTCTTCCGTTAGTTTTGGAAGTACTAATTTAAAAACCAGTCAGGGTTAGGGAACTTCAGCCAAAATGTAATGCTGGAGTAACATACATTGTTTTTTATAAATGGGAATAAACTGATTTTTGTATTTATTGGTTTTGTTATATTTATGTGTAGAGTATTTTTATCTTGACTCTGCAAGGCATTGTTTTAATTGTACATAAGTCTATACGTCCAAAACAATTTTTATAATCCGTAACAATCTTTTCTTGTCTACTTAGAAGTAAGTCCCATTAACTTCACTAGAGCTTACTCACATCTAATTTGATATAAAATTGTAGCCTAATCCAGGCATTCTTTATTTGTTTAACAAATTACTATGATACCTTTCCCCTGGAAAAGGGACCTTAGGTGTCTCAGAAATGGATCTAAAACACATGCAAATAAAAATGTAGTGAAATACTAATGTTAACCATGTTATAATAATAATTTTCTTTCCGCAACATAAAATATTTAGCATGTTTATCCTGTTCAGTCATTTTACAGCTGCCTGAGTGTAAGCTAAATAAAAGAGAAATTCTTTAGACAAATGAGCACATTTTTTGTTTTGTGTTTGTTTCTCTTAGTGGGATCATATCTGACCTTTTTCCTGGAGTCATAATCCCAGAGCATGATTATGGAGTGCTACAATCAACAATAATAGATGTCATGCTTTCCAAAGGATTACAGCCTGAAGATGCCATGGTTCACAAAGTCATACAACTATATGAAACCATGTTGGTAAGGCATGGTGTCATGCTTGTTGGACCAACAGGAGGTGGAAAAACTACAGTTTACCAAATTCTGGCTGATACTCTAGGAGCTCTGTATGAAGCGGGTGAGAACAAACCTTTCTATCAGCCCGTGAAAACATATGTTCTGAATCCTAAATCAATTACAATGGGTGAACTATATGGTGAAGTTAACAATTTAACCTTGGAATGGAAAGATGGATTAATGGCTCTTAGCGTTCGAGCTGCTGTAGTTGACACATCTGAAGATCATAAATGGATCATCAGTGATGGACCTGTGGATGCTTTATGGATTGAAAACCTAAACACTGTTTTGGATGATAACAAGATGCTGTGTTTGGCTAACAGTGAAAGAATCAAACTCACCCCTTCAATTCACATGATGTTTGAGGTACTTTTCTTTCTTATGATTAAATTACTTCCTAATATGCCTTACTGGAAAAGACCCTGATGTTGGGAAAGTGTGAGGGCAAGAGGAGAAGGGGACGACAGAGGACGAGATGGTTGGACAGTGGAAGCTACCAACATAAATTTGGCCCAGCTCCGGGAGGCAGTGGAAGACAGGAGGGCCTGGTGTGCTCTTGTCCATGGGGTCACGAAGAGGAGGGGAACAAGGATGTGCAGGGGCCTGGAATCCAAGTCCTATGAAAAAAGAGTGAAATAACTGGGTGTGTATAGCCCTGAGAAAAGAAAGCTGAGGGGAGATATGATAGCACTTTTCAAATACTTGAATGGTTGTCATTAAGAGAAGGGGCAGGGCCTGTTCTTGATCAATCAAGTTACAGGAAGCCAGATTTCAGTTGAATATCAGAAAACTTCCTAACTGTTAGGGCAGTACAACAATGAAACCAATTACCTCAAGAGGTGGTTAGTACTCCAACACTGGATACATTCAAGAGAAACTTAGACAACCACCTGACAGATATCCTTTGATTTGTATTCCTGCACTGAGCAGGAGGTTGGACTTGATGGCCTTATAGGACCCTTCCAACTTCATGATTCTATGATGGCTCAATACTCTTCAGCTGTAGTTTGACTCAGTTCAGAGAACTCAGTTAAATTCCCACCTACCAAAACCCATTCACTACAAAAAGCTGAAATCTCATTCTATGTTCTAGAATTTGGGAATATAGGGAAAAGACTTTAACTTCCAAAAATCAACAGTGACCAAATAATTTTACTGACAGCAGCAGTTTGGGGAAAGCAAAGATTCCCCTCCTAATCCTGTGGCACCCACCAGCTTTCCCACAACAAAAGGTATCCCAAGGAACCTTGGGGTGGGGGCAGGGAATCAGACATTTTTAATTTTTAAAAAACTATAATAGCTGGTGATGTCATCTGTCTTACATAGTGTAAGTTACGCTATTGGATTTCAGCTATTATTTAGTCCACATACAACCTTACTCTTTCATACATTATTCTTAGTTTATTGAAATATAATTGTATGTGGTGTTGCTACCTGGCGGTAAAGTTTTCTATTTGCTTGTGTCACTGTTTACTCAGCTAAATGCAGCAAAATAGCTCTCTCTGTATGATATTTGTTTGAATAGTAAAGATGAGATTTAATAGGTTATGCTTTCCCCATCATGTATAAGATAGGCTAAAATAATGAAAGCACAAGTCTGGCTTCTCAGGGTTGAAAGGAACAACTACTTTGTAACTCGGAATTATGCATCTTTCTGTACTGAACGTACAACACTGTCCATTTTGTGTTCGCTTGTAGCTATTTTATGTGTGCCTGTGTGTATCTGTCTGTACAGGAATTTAGTGTTGCTGTACATTACTGATAAAATGTATGCAATATTCATGACTTCTAGGTGGAAGACTTAAGGGTTGCTTCACCTGCCACAGTAAGCCGTTGTGGAATGGTATACATTGACCCTGAAGAACTAAAGTGGATCCCTTATGTAAAAACATGGATGGCAGGCCTTGAAGGAAAAGTAGGTTTTACCAGGTTTTCTGGGTCAGTCAATATTTGATTCCTTATGGTAATCACTGAACATGTTCAGTCGTCACTGATTTGTTTTTGGGAGTGAGAAGGTTTTCTTACTTTTTTTTTTTCCTTTTTAATTTGCTTTTATTTTAGATGAATGAAGAAACAAGAACATATTTATTTGAACTTTTTTGTCGTTATGTTGAAGATGGCCTAAAATATGTCCGCAAAAAGTGTTCACAAGCTATTACACAAGTGGATATCAGTAAAGTTACTGCTCTCTGTTCTTTATTAGAGTCACTGCTTCTTGGCAAAGGAGGACCAAATATGAAAATGGTACGCCTATTTATTCTTTGTGTAGGTTGCTCTTTCTGTTTGCAGGACAAAGCAGGAAATGTTTTGCATCCTAGTATCCTTTCTGCATGTTGAAATGTAATAGGCTATAACATACACAGAAAAATATAATCCTTTTAGGTGTCTACTTCTCTGTGGACCTTTGTAGATAATCCAATCAATAATAAAGTAAATTGACTTGCATTGTTCTTTGGTTGAGGTAATCTAAATATTTCAAGCACTGTCAAACCACAATACAGTGGTGCCTTGCTTAGCGATTGCTTCGTTTAACGACGAAATCGCTTAGCGGCAACTTTTTTGGAGCGTTTTTACACTTCATTTAACGATGGTCCCTGTGGGCGATTTTTGCTTAGTGATGGTTGGGACCATGCTTTGCATAGCGATTAAATTTTGGGTCCCCTGTTTCGCTTAACGATGGTTTAAACAGCCTCATGTTTGCTGTTTGTTAAATGTTTTTCTGTTATTTAGAAAGTTAAAGTTTAGTGTTTAAAATGTTTGAAATCATAAAGTGCACTTAATAAACCCTTTGTTAACCAAATTTGACTTTGTTCTGACTCTTTTTAAATTTCTTGTAATTTTTCCCCCCATTGAGATCCGTTGAATAGGTTTCAATGCATTTCAGTTGGGGAACTGCGTTTCGCTTAGCGATGTTTCCTATGGCGATTTTCGCTTAAGGATGGCAATTCGTTCCTATTGGAACGGATTATCCAGTTTTCAATGCATTTCAGTGGGAAACCGTGTTTCGCTTAGCAATGAAATCACTTAGCAGTGATTTCTTTGGAACCAATTAACATTGTTAAGCGAGGCACCACTTGTACTTTGTCATGGAAAAATGCAGTCCTTCTGTGATCCAGTAACTGTTAAAAGTTTGATCATTTAGGTTCTTGGAACCTTGAGTGCCCACATTCTGTACTAGATGAAGTTTTAACTTCAAAACCCCCCACTCACCCGCCCTCCCAGAGCACTTTACAGTGGTCCATTCTGGAGGTAGCTGGCGATGCATACCTGAGATAGATTTTCTTTCCTTACCTAGGATAACAAGTAACTACAACTGTACTTGCTTGTTGCTTTATAATGGTTCTTGTATACATTGGCTTTGACCTACAGGTGAATTTTGACCACAAAATAGATTCTTATCTATGGAACTTATATTTTGTAATGTGCCTTAGCATGTCATTTCTAGAGAAGAGAATTATAAATTCACTTAATTCAAATTCCTGGAATTTCCCCCTATATTATTTTGGTGTGAAAAGAAGTGATGATATTTATGTATGAGTTTTTAAAATATGTTTTTGTGTATTTTCTTTTTCCTGCATTTACAGGAACAGTCAAGGCTAAATTCTCTCGTGTGCCAAACTTTTGTTTTTTCTTATTTGTGGTCAGTGGGTGGAAACTTAACTGAGAACTATTGGGATGGATTTGATACATTTATAAGACAGCAGTTTGAGGACAATCCAGATGCCAAGGTATGAAATACACTGTAATGGTAGCATATTTTTGCAGAATAGTATTTGTGAGGACATTTGGGCATGATCACAACGTAACAAGGAGGACCAAAATACCTCCCTGCTTTCAGATTTTATAAAAGTACTTTCACAGATGTTTCTGGTTTCAAATTAGAATTTCCTTTTCAAAATGATATTTGGTCTTATGATTTGTTTGGGGACTAAAGGCTACCTAAACCTAGTTCCTTGTAACCTACAAACCCTAGTCATCAATCCCTAGTCCGAGGGAGTGGCTCTGACCACTCAGTCAGGAGGAAAAATGCATCCACTTATTTGCTCCCCATGATTTAAATTCAGGCATTGAAAACATTTTTGGGGAACTAACTCAATCTTTCTCAAACTATGAATGAATGAATGAATGAATGAATGAATGAATGAATGAATGAATGAATGAATGAATGAATGAATGAATGAATGTGCATGCCCATTGGGAGAAAAAAGGAGAAACATTTGGGAATGTGTTGATGCAATGACAATGATCATTTATTCTTTTATAGAACATAATTATTTGAAAGTATTATGTACCTGCACAAAAATAATTATTCGTTTTTTTCCTGTATGTCCCAATTTTCCCCCAGTTAGTGACAAAGATAAAAATTATTCTCATATCTTTCTAGCTGCCAACGTCTGGTGATTTATGGAGTGTTTATATTGATTTTGATACAAAACGTCTGGATCCTTGGGAACGAATTATACCTGCATTTAAATACAGTAACACGGTTCCATTTTTTGAAATGCTTGTTCCTACCACTGATACAGTGCGTTATGGCTTTCTAATGGAAAAACTGCTGGCCGTAAAACGTTCTGTGTTGTTCACAGGAATAACTGGGGTGGGCAAGGTAAGAAGTATTTGATTATGCAACTCTGATTATGTAAATTTGATTTGATTTTTGTCCGGTAAGCAGCTGACACATAGTTGGATCAGGAACATGTGAGGGGAGGGATCTGGCCCTTTGCTCTCACTGCAATCTCATTTGCTTCCTTACTATTGTGAATAGTCTACACTGTCTACACTGCTCAATTCTGACTGGGATAGTGGGAGTGAAAATTTAACCCATATTATCATGGTGCTGATCCATCTACTTGGATAAACAGATAACAGTTTTGTAGTGTAAAACACTGTGTTGAAAGTCACATCGACTTTGATCTTAAATATATTTGTAGAAAAAATGAAGAACAGAATGAACAGCTTTGCAGAGATTCATTTCTGTCCTTGAGAAAATTAATGGTTTCTATGATACTATTCTTCGCCATAGAGTAACACATAATGTAATGATAATAAGGCAAAACATTTATTATGGTTAAATACTGCTCTTTCAATATTTATTTTTTTATTTACAAGATTTTTAAGCCGTGCCATTACCAGTGGTCTCTGAGCAGCGTGCAACAATATTAAAATTTTAAAAACATTAACATTAATGTATATGATATAGTAAAAGCTTTATTCATTTAAATAATACACATAATTTTGAGCATGTAATTATCAGAGAAGTTAAAACAAACCTTTAACAACTGTCAACTACCATAAATGGAAAATCATATGGAAAATTCTTGAAGAATTCTGGGCATTGCAGTTAAAAAAAAGACACACCCCTATTTAGAAGCATATAACTTCTATTATATTTGCTGAAATCCTGTTGCTTAGTGTAGTAATTCTCACGAGGGTAGGCTCATTGAATCAGTGGGGATTTGGTGAGTCAAATATTGTAAGTTCCATTGATTTGAATTGGCCTTTTGCTAATTGTGACTTACTTTATTGTAGTAAATGGAAACTAGAGTAGACTTAATCAATACAACTTATAGAGAAGTTGCCTCACCAATCCACACTGATTCAATGGTTCTACACTAGTGGAACTTGCTCTAGTGGAACTTACTACCCTAAGGCAACAGGATTTTACCCATAGTGTCAGAACATAAGGAAGACTTTGCAGTGCAGTTGATTACACAAATAGTCAGAATCTACCCAGCAGTTTATTGTTGAAAATACAGGCTAGCAGGTGCAGGTATTTGTCATATATTTTGACTTGTCAAGAAGAAAAGTTTAGATTTCAGTTTTGGAGGAAGTTAGAAATTGGAAACATGATGCACTTATTTTGTCAAATGCAGCATTGATAGAGCTGTTTTGCTATTTACAGTGGGGTGTTGACTTGAGAACTTAATCCGTATTGGAAGGCGGTTCTCAAGTCAAAAAGTTCTCAGGTCAAATCTGCATTTCTCATAGGAATGCATTGAAAACCATTTGATCCGTATCTGCTCTTTTCCGTCCATAGAAACTAATGGGAAGCTGCTATTCCGCCTTCGACCACTAGAGGGGGATATTTTGTTTCTTTTTTCTTAGGTCAAGAAAGGTTCAGGGAAGGCAGGGAAAATACAGTCCAGGCAGTACCAGGCAGTCTGAAGACTCCCAATCCACTCTCTAAACGCTGGGAGGAGGGAGGAAGCAGACAGGCACCCTTTTCACTGGCCAACAGTTAACTGAAAGTTCACCTTTTGCACTTTCCCTGCCTCCCACGTGGTTTTTTTTCAGTTCTTAACTCAAATCTAAGTATGTAAGTCAAGACAATATTTTCCTATGAGAGCGGTTCTTAAGTCAAAATGTTCTTAACTCAAGCCGTTCTTAAGACCCCACTGTAAAAGAGAGAGTGGAACTGGAAGATGTAGAATTAATTATACATTTATTAACAAACCATGGATGTGCATCTGTAATAACTGGGGAAAAACCTTTCTCTTTGTCAAAGACAGAATAGTTACAGAATGTGTGGGATATAGCATATATGTAAAGCTGACCAGTTTGACTAGAGTTTGGGAAGACAAACAACAAGGAAAGTGCTTTATAGAAAAAATAATTTGTATTAATATGCAATTGTAATGACAACCTCCAGGATGAAATTAACTCATATATGCTTTTTAGCAAAATATGGATGGTTTGAAACATTGCAAACAAAAGAATAGAAAATATACTGTTATGGGGGAAACACTTTTGCCCTAATGAAACTCTACTAAGAAAAATCAGAAATATTTGCATACTCTCTCTAATCATTTCTCATATGTAATTCTTATATAGATGATATTTCCCAGATATGCATAGTTTTACCAATCTCTTAAAAACTGATTCATGAGACAATCAATGAGAAATGTAGGAGTATTGTCTTTGTTGTAACCTGTGGAACAGTCCTCTGTAATTCTTATGAGTAACAACATAGGTTACTAGAATGGCCACTGCTTATCTTATTTTACTCATTCTTTCTGGATGCATGTATTCCCAATGTATCTTTCTCCTTTTCCGTGCATTTTGTTTATTTTGTAATATTTATTCCTGTATGCCACTCAGAACACTATGTATAGCTGAAGTTCTGAAAAGTGAATAAATATTATTTTAAAAAAACAAGGGAAGATGCTAGAATAGAATGTTGCACTATAATCATTGTGCAATTTATTTTTTTATTACTATTCTGAAAAAGCGAGCTGTCAATATTTTGACATGAGTGAAATTTTAAAATCAAATGTGTAAATTACCATGAAAGACATCATCAAGCTGCCATTAATTATTAATTTGCCAATGGTAAAATTCTATACATGTTAATTTCTAATAGTATGATATTGTAAGCTCAGTATCTACACAGAGTAAAACAAAACTAGATTTCTCTGTGTGCATTTCTGTGGAGAACCCTTTGATGTGAGATGAGAAATGAAACTTTGTGCATAATATATTCTGTTCTCACCCTCCTTTTGTGACACTTGAAGTCTGTAGTTGCAAGAGCACTGTTAAATCGAATACAAGAAGAAGCTGGCTATGTTCCTGTTTACCTAAATTTCTCTGCTCAGACGTCCTCAGCAAGAACTCAGGAGATTATTGAGTCTAAATTAGAAAAGAAAAGGAAAAATATTCTAGGTAAAGATATTTAATTCTTGCTTGAACTGTGCTGCTTACTCTATTTTCTTTACTTTTTAAATTTAGCCACACCTTATAATAGGTACTGCCCTTGCTCAGCTAATATTAAACAAAATTTTCATCCAAATCTGTCCATGTTCTTTTAAAATGATAGGGGGTCTTTGGAAATAAAGGTGATTGATTGTATCTTGGGAAAAAAGATCACTCAAGAATTGTAATTTTGAAGTTGTTCGCTTCAGTTAATGAAATGGAATGTAGACTGTAATGAGGTGTAGTGCATCCAGTTTTACACAGGAGGGCAGTATTGACATTTGAGAAACTGAATATATCTGCCTCAATATGTTAAAATGAAAACTGTATTATTTTACTCTTACTGTTTATTGTGGAGATATTTCAGTCATTTTCCCATTCCTCTCCCATATATATTGGTCCATCCATGGGAATTTTCTATCATTGAGTAGTTCAGTGGACACACAGACAGCTATCCTCTTTTATGAAATGTAAAATGACATATAGCTTACAAAATAATATAGCATTTGTTCCACTTAAAAGATAAATCCAATCAAGTGTGTTATCTAAGAACAAAATCACATCAGAATACATTGAATATCCACAGCAGTGTCAATTCAGGTCATAGTAATTACTGATTGACATTGCCCGAAGAGAGTTTCGGTCAAAATTTAGGGTCCCACTGAAGGAAAATGGTTTTATATAACACAGGTAGACCTAAAAATCAAATTTGTTCTTTGTCATACTACTGCATATTCTTCCAAGGTGTACTCTGTTGCATTTAGTAGGAAGGTAACAGTCTATACTTTTGTGATTTTGTGATTATGTTTATTCTTCTGACATCTTAACCATTTTGAGCAAACTTGCAGGAATTTACAAAAATCAGGAAAATGGCTTTCAATTTGCTTTTAATCATAATGCAAACTCATTCATTGAGTGTATTCATGGATGACAGTGTGGTGCCTTCTGCCTGTTTTTGGTTTTGGTGTTTGATGATGCTTTGAGGAAAAGGAGGAGGCAAAAAACTGTCTCCAGCTGACATACTAAATTAATCTACGTTCCTTCACAAATTAAATTTCTTCATGCATTTATAAGCTTCTGTCAGTTGAAGCCTCAAGAAACAGCCATTCTTTACTCATGGGACCACTAGGAAAGTTAGTGAATATACGTACCAATGTAAAACTGGCACATCAGCAGGAAGTACTTTGAGAGAGAACCCTTAGCCAAGGATTTAGATAATAATGGTGCACTAACCACTTTCTGTAGCCTCCATGCTCGTCAAAGCTTTCAGGCTTTGCTACTGTTCTTCAGTCTCAGCAACATGTTGCTAAGAGGAGCTATGGAATCCAAACTGCATCTGTTCATCTGCCTGTCTGCCACTTGTTTCTGGCCATTTGCCCAAGCTCTCCTCTTTCTCTTCAACCCTAATTTTGGCTGTAAACCTTATATTGGGCTTTATGGCAGAATTCCTACTCTCAGATACAAAAATGCAAATTTATCATATTCCTGCCACTATATTCAACATGTAATGGAAAAAAAAACAGGAAGGTTTTGCCTCTGCTAGTCTTATCAGGGCCAATACTACTCCTGGTCCTAGTAAGTTACAGAGTATCTAATTCTATTTCAAAGCCAATTGATATTGTTTGCCTGCATAGATGTTCTAAGACAATATCGGTGTTTTATGTTGTGATAGGTACCATCACGTTGGAACCAACTTATAGCTAACCTAGTAGGGCTTTCCAGGTAAGTGAGACATTTAAGGAATGGTGTTACCAGCTCCACACCCCCAGTGAATTTCCATGACTGAATGGAGAGTCAAACCTAGGCCTCGTGAGTCCTTCTCCATCTCACTATCCACTACGTATACCACACTGAAGTATCCCAGGGTTTTACAACACTGCAAGTCTTAGTTCCTTTCTCACTTTCTGATCAAGGTTCACCAGAAACCTCATAATGGCATATATGCCAATGCATGCAGTATAACTGAAAAGGTTATTGTTTTGTATTGCACATATGGAAATCATTAGAAGTAACTCATCAGAGAAGTTTAAAATTTATGGAAAAACTTTGTTAGGAATGTCACGGTACAATGACTGCAGCACCAGAAAAAAGCAAAAAAGAAGAACTAGAAAAGAAGGTTACGGAAGTGTATGCACATTCCTGAATATTATAGCCCTGTCCCCATCCCTAAAATCAAATATCTGTAATTTCAGAATGCTTACATAGTTAAGAAAATATTTTCCAGTATTAATTCAGTATGTCCCAATGATTTTAGACTAGGTCTAGAAAATATTACTGGTAACAGGGTGCTAACATATACGTAGAATGGTCTACGTTGGAAACAGCAATCCAAAGAAGGCAGAAGACTGAAATGCAAGTATTACAAATGGTACACATATGATATTGCCTGTGGGTTGAGCTCCTTGAAATCCCCAGAACATGCTAAGTTGAAGACGGAACATCTGCTTAGTCATAGTGTGTTGCTGAAATCCTTCTTGAAAAATTAAAATGTCATTATTGTTTAATAAAGAATATAACAATACGTGGGAGGACATTAGAAACCAGAACAATGGATTTCTATTTACTGGCATTAGACTGTGACAACTACTAATGACCTTCTTGGCATCTGCTATTTTCACTTTAGGAATGGAGATAAATACAGTGTACTAATTAGTTATTTAAGTGTAAATGCTCATTTTTGGAGTGTTTTTTCAGAAACTGATCACCGTATGTTTGCATATTCTTTTATTGCTTAGGCGCACCAGGGAAAAAAAGAGTTATCATTTTTGTGGATGATCTAAACATGCCAAAACTGGATCGCTATGGCTCTCAGCCCCCTATTGAGCTACTCAGACAATACCAGGACTTTGGAGGGTTCTATGATAGAGAGAAACTGTTTTGGAAAGAAATACATGTAAGCCTATGTTTAGTTACTCAGGGTCATGACTCATAGGAATGTGAACATTGTCCCTAAAATGACAATGCAGACATAATTATTGCTTCTGTATTCCACTCTTCCTTTGAGAAACTGAGCAAGTCTTGCATGATGCTTTCTGTACACAGATGGAAGCATCAGAAGGAATGAAGGCAAGTTGTGACAATTCCTTTGTTTTTGCTAAGACATCTAAATCTCTTATGTTTCAAAGATTAAAATGTCCTGTTGTGTTATTTCCTAGAGGACATGCTAAGTTTAAGATGTGACATCCACTTAGCCAGAGTGATGATACCAAAGGGACTGAGAATTCAATTTTTCTGAACGGAAAGCCGAGTCAGAGGAAAATGTCTTATTGAAATGTAGAGCTGCATGAGACAAACAACATGTCCTAAAATGTGTAGGATGAAAGAAAGCAGTTTATGTTATGATTTGTGATCTTCGTTTACAAACATTGGTTTTGGAGTTAATCAGTTAGGACTTCCACATACAAAACTTCATTTGCCATAAGATACAATACCAGTAGGAAATAGCTGCTTTTTATTCACATTCTTCTTGGAACAGTCAGTACCTACAGAGTTGTCTGCATGAAAGCCAATTGCTCTGCAGATACCAAAGGGCTGTGGAATAGTGTAGAAAAGGGAAAGTTTAACAAGAGAACAAGAAATTTTAGAAGTAAACAAGCTGTCTTGAGTTTTATAATATAGGATTTCATAGTAATACTTTTGTGATAGATGAAATATAGAAGTAAGGAATCAAATTAGTTTAACTGAACTGTCGTTTGTTAAAATTGCAGATATTTCAACATAAGAAACAGGGTTTTACATGATTAAAGATATTATTAAGCATTGTGTTCTGATGCAGATTGTCTGTTGTCTTTTCCCTCTAGGATGTAACTATTTCTTCAGCCTGTGCACCTCCAGGTGGTGGACGTAATCCAGTTACACCACGTTTCATAAGACATTTTGCCATGCTGTGTCTTCCAACACCCTCTGAGCATAGCCTTAAACAAATTTTTCAGGTCAGTAGCAACTTTTCCACAGTTGTAATGGACAAAAAATAGATTTTTTTTATAGGTTGTCAAAACATACTACTCTGTGATGCTGGAGCTAGACAGATTCTCAGTAACATGTGTCACTTTCTGAAGTGCTCAACATTCCTGATAGGAATTAATGCTTCTTGTTGAAAATTGGCAGTAAATGCGTAGAAACTCCTCTTTCCTATTAATTTCAGTGCATTTCGGGTCAAGCCTATCAAGACCAGATGAGTACTTATTTATATCTGAATGATTAGCCGCATTTGTAACATGTTTTTGTTTTGTGTAAGATCTTTAAACATGATTTGTACATGTAACAGCTAATCAGAAGTAAGTTGCATTGAGTGGGACTCATTTTCAGGTAAGTGGGTGCAGGATTGAACTCCAGTTGGTTTTTTGTGCATGTGTGTATGCATGTATGGGCATGTGTGTATGCATGTATGTTTGTGTTTTTATGTGGGAAAAAACACAAATGTAAATTGTCCTTATCAAGCATGATGATAATAAGCAGTTCACAACAGCTCATTCTTACAGTGCCCTTCATGTCATTTTTATGCATTTATTCCTGCCTCTATTTTATTCATTCCATTTTTGTTTCTATTGGCAACTATATTAGTTAGCAGAACAGTGAAGGAGGATTTAAGTGATAGCCTTCTTCTCATTTACACATGGAGGAATGCAAATCTACTGAATGACAACTGCTAGAAAGAGATTGTGAGAAATGTGTTTCTGTTTTTGGCTGTTTCTCCCCATTGTGAAAGCCAAACATGAAAAAAAAATGACTTCCTGGCATTTTATTTTCTAGAGAGGACATAAAGGGAATACATGGGCAAAATGCAGGATATCTATAGTGTGGGTTTGGTCCAAATGCTTTTAGTTGCACATGACTGAATTTATTTGATGGATATAAGTTAACAGAGATTCTGGATTAACTGAGGCATGTATTCTGTATCCCAATGCATTCAGGTTAAAGGGTGTTTCTTCTGCAAAGTCAATGGGGGGAATTCCTTTCTTTGGGGAAATATGCAAAATCCTGTTCATGCAGGTGCAACATGAAATTATTCTTCTGTAAATGTGCTGGGCATTATACCCTGCCAACAGGGACTCAGACAATTCAGTTATGCAATCGGTCATGCAATTATCTTTGCCACTGTTGCACAACATACTGGCAGAAGTGTTTCATGGATAGCACTTCAGCCTTGGCACTTTTGTAGCTACCGCCAGCATAATGTCAAGTTATGCCTGCATAGCTGCACATGAGGATTTTGCCTCCTGCATACAGTATATAATGGCATATATAGCAGCATAAACAAACATTGGCAAGGCACAGCTGTCTTTGGTTCAAAATTATTTTGTTTTTGAGATATACAAAAGTATCTCCAAAATGAAAATTAGGAATGTTTCCAGAGATTGAAGATGCAATGAAATTTTCTGGGAACATAGGCTGGTGCTCATACAAAATTGGTCAATGAATGAAAAAATCATTTAAAAAAATTAAAAATAAACTTTGGAACAACAGATGGTTTGACAAAAAATATAAAACAGAAACAAAATAAATGTTTAATTTTACTATGTCCTTAAAATTTCTGTTATGTCATATTTCTTGGTCTAGGCTATTTTAAAAGGCTTTTTGGCTGAATTTTCTCAAGCAGTAAAGCAGAGTGCAAAAAGTATAGTCGATGCAGCTGTTGAAATATATCAGAGAATGAGCATTGATCTTCTCCCAACACCAGCAAAATCCCATTATGTGTTTAACTTACGCGATCTGTCAAAGTGTGTGCAAGGTACAATGTTTTCCTTTAAGAAACCAACTGTGAAGCTTAGAAACAGGAAGGCAGTAGACTGTGAAGTAAACCCTGAAAAGGGTTGCCGTAAGTCAGAATTGACACAATGACACACAATTATTAATTTTTGTTGTTGTTTTTGTTGTTCTTAATAGCAGTGGGGTATTATTTGGGAGCCACTGTGGTGTAGTAGATAGAGTGTTGGACTAGGACTTGGAAGTAGAGATGGGGGTATTCATATATGAATATCCCTGCATGGGTGGCATTAATGAGGGTCCAGCCCCATGGGGCTGGACGGTACACTCACTGATCCTCTGCGGACACAGACAGCTTGATTCTACGAATGACTCTGCAGTGCTAAATACACTCGCTACTCCCGGCAGGAGGTGGGAGGACAAGCCTCGCTGCAAGGTCAAAGAGTGGCGAGTAGATTGCACACTGTAGAGCCATTCGTAGAATTGCACCATCCACATTCATGGTGGATTGGTGAGTGGACCGTCCGGCTCCATGGGGCTGGACCCTCGTTAACGCCACCTGTGTGGGAATATTCGTATTCAAATACGGATATCCCCATCTCTGCTTAGGAGTTCAAATCTCTACTTAGCCATGGAACCTCACAAGGGGATGGAAATGGCAAACCACTCTTTTAACATCTCGTATACCTCAAAAACTCTATTTGGGTCACTATAAGTCAGAAACAGTTTGTTGGCACATAATAACGACAAGGTGCTATTTCATATGAAATCAACTTTTGGAATTTTTAGCTGCAGGGTTGTCAGTTGCAATATATTATCTTGGCTGCACAATTTTATTACTAGTGATAGTGATCCATTTTATGTTAGTAAAAGGAATCAAATCTCATGCTTCACAGCGTGAAGTCATTGCTTTATGAAGCCTACTAGGATTTCTTTCCTCAGTCTACAATATTATGCAACATATTTGGTAAATATGGCATTCCTGTTTTATGAAATGTTACTAATGTTGAAGGCATTAAATTGAATGAATTGAGTTCTTTATTTCCTCTTTCTCTATTATATTCCACCTCTTTGGTTGTATAGCTCATACACAAATGATTTTTTCTAGAGAATGTTAGACTTGAATAGTAGCTGACATCCATAAAGATAGGCAATTACTGCATGCTTGCTTGGGATATTCTTGGTACTCTATTCACGCATGCTGCTGTTTGTTATATCATACCTGTACCTATTACCTATATTTGGAACCAGGGTATGCTTCTGGTTCAGCATGTAATATAAGTATTCTTATCTAATTGTTTCTTTATTTAAACCATTTACACCCCATTTTTCTTTTAAAGAATTTGAGGTTTCTATTGCATGTGTATAAAGCATGCTTTATTCATATTGCATTCAGACTCAGGAGCAGCCTGTTATTATTAATATGTTACAAACATATAAAACTTGGAAGTTGTCTCCAAATTCCTCCATATGTCCCCGAAAGGGCTTTGTACAGAAAATGAGTAAGTATAACTCTAAAAAAAATGTAGAACAGTATACAGTAGCTGTTACATTACTTCACAAAAGTAACATTACAGCTATCATTAAACCTAGCACATCCGTTCCAAACTCTGGTACATTCTGTTTAATGATGAGTTTTATCCTTCTTTATTTACTGTTTTATTTTTAGCTGCAGGGTTGTTTAGTATTCTGGTGTGGTGTTTAATTTGCTCTGGTTCATTCATCCAGTGGCTGAAATCCAATAACGTAAATATATGCTGCATATATCTGATGATGTCATCAGCTGCGGATGTACTTCGGTAATAAAAAGTTCTTTGTGTCTCTGTAATTCACACCTGTGGGTTCCTTCTGCACATGTGCAGCCATCTCCAGAATATTCCAGAGCCTAAAAGTTGTTAATCCAAACCCTCTCCACTGCACATGCTTCTCACTCTGCAATTAATTCTCAGTTCCCTTTCAGCCACCACTGAGGTAATACCTTTGGAACTTCTCTGAAGCCCTTTTTTCAACTGATTTTTGTAATGAGTTCTTCCCTGTTAATTCAGCCTTATCTGTTTGCCTATCATCATCTGTGAATCTTCTGTTTACCATAAAAATCCACGTAGCTTAGTATTTGTCATGAAGCGCTGGTGGTGGTGGCACTGTGGGCTAAACCGCAGAAGCCTGTGGTGTAGGGTCAGAAGACCAAGCAGTCATAAGATCGAATCCACACGACGGAGTGAGCTCCCGTTGCTTGTCCCAGCTCCCGCCAACCTAGCGGTTCGAAAGCATGCAAATGCAAGTAAATAAATAGGGACCACCTCGGTGGGAAGGTAACAGCGTTCCGTGTCTAAGTTGCACTGGCCATGTGACTACGGAAGATTGTCTTCGGACAAACGCTGGCTCTATGGCTTGGAACCGGGGATGAGCACCGCCCCCAGAGTCGAACACGACTGGACAAAAATTGTCAAGGGGAACCTTTACCTTTACCTTTACCATTTAAAAAATGTGTTTTGCACTAATAAAATACCCCTCACATACAAACACTCTTAGTGCCTTTACTGCCTAGGTGAGGCGCATCAAACTCAAAACTGCAAAAGTTGTCAAAAAATTCACTAAAACAGCAAGTAAAAAGGTGTCTGGATAGCTCAGTGAGTTTGGTATCAGGCTGAGGAGGCAGAGGTCAGGAGTTCCTTTCCCCACTGTGCCTGCTTTGAAAACAGCCAGCCTGTGTGGCCTTGGGCAAGCTGCACAGTCCCAGGATGTCCCCAGAAGAAGGGAATGGCAAATTACTTCTGAGTACTCTCTACCTAGAAAACCCTGGAAGGGGTCACCATAAATAATATATTATACAACCAATACAAACAAACATGCAAACAAACAAATATGTCAGAAGTGATTTTACAGCAAACATAGAAAGCAGTAACAAAGGCAATTTGAACTAAAATTTTATTTGTTGGACAAGTCTTTATAATCAATAGGTACCATTTTGAAACAGTCATAAACATTGTTTTCAGTTATTTCCATTTGGAAAACAGTATCTAAACAGTTACTAATGGACGCCATTCAGTCAGAGACAACTGCGGTGAAAACCTTAGACGATCCAACTCCACAAGCATTGGAGTCTAAACAGCAGACACCAGCTCTTGATATCAAGGAGAGGCCATTCAAATCTAGATCAACCTTGGCACCCAAATCAATCTCGACTTAAATACCAAAAAAGCAGGGAGAGGGGGGAATCAATGAATCCAGAGAGTAGCCAAGCGAAAAAGACAAGGTGCAACTCAAAGAAATCAAAGGACTATCTAATCAGTGCCATCTCATCCATCACCTCAACAACGTTCTCCATAAAATAAGGAACATGAGGACTTAATCTGCTTGGGATCAGTTTTGGAAGAGGAGATGTTTCAAGTGCATGGATCTTCACCAGCTTTTAGTCATTCTCCAGAATGAAGCCACTTAATGCAGAAAACCTTGAGTAAACCCTTGCCACTTTGAAAAAGCCAAGTATATGAAATAAGGAGTTGCCTCAGTTTAAAGAGCAATCCCATCCCTCTTCTTCTGACTAGAATCTGATGGTGAAAGACAAGAGATCTCCATACCATAAAAAACACCACACATTGCACTGTTCTCAGACTGCAACAAGCGTGGCAGTGTACTCTCTACTACTTTGGTACCATGCCACAGTTTTACCTTGGGTCAGAATAGCAGATTGTACCACCCCATTTTAATTGTCACAGGATGCAAAGAGTGAAGCATGTTGGCTTTCTCTGGTTTACTACGTGCTCACAGATGTCAACTCATTATGTTCATCAGTGTGGAAGGCGCAGGGATTCAGCATTGAAACTGCTGAAACCAAAGAGACCTCATCAATCATCAGACCATTGTGACTGCAGTCACTCGAGATCAGTATTGAGGTCTCCTGTGCCAACCAGTAAACTGCAACAGAAAGCAATGTCTCACCACTCTAGATCTTCAACGTTGAAAGATAATCAAAGGGCCACAACGGTATTGAGATCTTTGATACTGATTGTACAGAAACAAGCATCATCATCCTCAGCCACAAAATCTCTGACACTGAAACCCATTTAGAATCCAAAGTCTTGAGACCACTCTTCCGTATCAGATACTAATCATACTGTGAGAACCAACATGTCACAAAAAGCTAAAGCTAAATGTCTGCGTCATAACCTTGGTACTGAATCAACTCTGATACAGCCCAAAGACAGAAAGAAAATACTGCAGAGAAGAAAGATAAAAGTGAATGCATACTTACCAAACCAGCTTCCCTTTTCTGCAGGAGGCCATTTCTCTGACTATACACTAGACATATTCTGTGAGGCATGCAACTGATTGCATTGCAAAAAAATATATTAGTCACAGTAGTATTAAGGCATTATGCATGACTTTGATCAGCTGGAATTTCTGATGACTCCAGATCTAGAATAGAGTACTTATCATTTGACAGTGAGGGTCTCTTCAACAAAAAAGAGATGACATAATGTATAAGGGGAAAAAAAAACAGTGAGTTGGAGTTACAGGAAACAGGGTCTATTCTCACTATTTTGCAGTTCCCAAAAGGATGGAAGCTTAAGATCTATTTTGGATCTGCGAGATGTAAACTAATACATAGAAAGCAGAAAGTTCAGAATGGTATCCCTAGCAACAATATTAACACTCATTCCTTCTGTATTGGTGTGACATCCCACCAGCTGGTAAGTGAGCTTGTCAGTCACCCTTAGATGTGAATCACAGAGACCACGAAGAACAGCTAACCTGGAACAGTAGTTGTTTGAGTGGTCATCTGTGAATTCAGCGAACTCACCCATTCTCCCCTTGACCTGCCACACAAGTGTTTCTGGGAGCAGCGGACTGGGGGAACTGAGGATTAACTACAGTGTGAGGAACATGTACAATGGAGAGGGTGTGGATTAATGGACTTTTAGGCTCTGGAGTGTTCCGAAGATGTCCACATAGGAGCAGAAGAAACCCACATATGTGAATTCACAGATGGTCTCTTGAAGAATTACAGCTACAGGTATGTAACCTGTCCTTTCCTCTCCTCCCTCCCTAGTCCCTAAGCTCCCATAGGATCCCCTTGATCCTAGAGAAGCCTTCAGGGTCAGCAGGACAGGGGGCATGGGATAGTGTTAAATGTCTGAAAATCACCATTGCTTGTCCTGATGGCTACAGCAGGACCAATGGTGGTAGGTTTGAGACATTTAAGGCTTCCCCCATCCTTCAGCCCCCAAAGGCTTCCCCAGGACCATAAGGTTAATAAGGGAGCCTAAGAACTTTGAGAAGACAAAGTTTTTGCTATCAAAATGCATCCATGGCTGATGACATCACCAGACTTGCTCAGTATAATGTAATGTGACTAGATGTGAGGCAATAAATCACAGTTTATGCTGCAATCATTAATTGAACATTGGATGGACATTTACGTGTCAGCAGAACCTCAAACTCTTCAGCAGACATTTTGTAACAAATCTCCTTTGAAGTGTTTTTAAGCATTTGTATTGTTCAAGTGTTTCTGTTGTTTCTTGTGTAAATGACAACATTCTTTCTGCATTTTTCTATACAGGCATACTGCAATGTGATCCTGTGTCAGTTCGAGACCAGATGCAAATATTCAGACTTTTTTGTCATGAATGCCAAAGAGTTTTTCATGACCGCCTTATCTGTAATGAAGACAAACAATACTTTTATTCTATGTTAGCTGACATGGCCAGTAAGGATACTTATTTTTCCCATTGCAGTTATTGTTCAAAAAGGATGCATGATGAGAAATCAATTAACAACCTCTTCATTTATTTCAATTCATAGGCAAGCATTTTGGCGTTTCAGTTGACCCGGACTCATTTGTGCAGAAGCCAATCATATTTGGTGACTACATAAAAGTGAGCATCCTATATAGTGTATAGAAACTTTTAATAAAGTTATACTTTTATTATATACAGAATTTTCCTTTCATTGCTGAGACATGAAAATAAAATACTCAAAATAACTAAACAAGTTAATCTTGCTGTTCAAATATAAGTTAGGTCTTTCTATGCCAAAAACTAGTTTTATTTCTTATGAAAGATTTATAAAATTTAAAGAATTCTACTTTGCATTAAAAATCTAATAACCAAAACACTTTTTTCAGATGTAGATGTAACTATGGATATGTTGTTGGCCTAACACCAGACAGGCTTGAAAACCAAGATAGCTTTTTAGATTAAAATGTACATGTTTTCTTCTCATGCAATTCCAGTCTTGTTTACTAGAATGAATTCAAATCCCATTTATTATGCCCTGGGTTCTCTGGAAGAAATAAACAAATCTGTTTCTTTATTAACTCAGTAAACACATAGTGCTAGAATCCTATTGGTTATTTATGTTGGTATAAGCTCAGTGGCATAAATTGCAGCAAGAAACTGTTGCTACTTAATAGGATACCACTTTATTCTTTTTTGCTAAGTAGTCATAGGGATGTGGTGGCGCTGTGGGCTAAACCGCAGAAGCCTGTGCTGCAGGGTCAGAAGACCAGCAGTCGTAAGATCGAATCCACGCAACGGAGTGAGCTCCCATTGTTTGTCCCAGCTCCTCGCCAACTTAGCAGTTCGAAAGCATGTAAATGCGAGTAGATAAATAGGTACCATCTCGGTGGGAAGACAAAACAGTGTTCCCTAGTCATGCTGGCCACATGACAACGGAAACTGTCTTCAGACAGGAGCTGGCTCTATGGCTTGAAAAGCAGGATGAGCGCTGCCCCCTAGAGTCGGATACGATTGGACTAAAAATGTCAAGGGGAACCTTTACCTTTACCATGTGACTTAGTATGCCATGAGGAATACAAACCGTGATTTGTTAACTAGAGTCAATTTGCCTGTACAAGTTATGCCATTGCACTTAGTTATGTATCATCAAGTTGGAACTGACCTACAGTGACTAATAGGCCTTTTAAGGTAAGTGCAATATTTAAGGAGTGGTTTTACCAATCCACTCCCCCAGTGAGTTTCTACAGCCAAGTGAAAGCAATGGGGTGGAAACAGTGGCTCAGTTGTGTGTGCCTGATACAGTGCTGTACACCCACACACTTTAGAGAGAATGTTATTGAAGTCTCTTAGTATTTGTAACCTCTAGTCAAGGAGTAAGACCTTGACTAGAGGTTGCAAATGATAATGTGAATTGGAACAATCTTGAGAACACTATCATCCCCCCAGAATAAGGGACCAGGTGGGCAAGCAATCTTAAGTATGAAATGTTTTAAATATTTTCCTTTGCCTGTTTCCTCTGTCAGCCTCTGGAGCAAATTTATTTGCATCTGGCCATAGCTAACTGAACTAGCTTTGTTTTTGGAACCCTCGAAAGCAATTCTGGGTTGGGATGTCACTCATAGAAAGGGTGCAGGGTATTTAGCCTAATAAAAATTCCATTAAATTTTTGAGTTCTAGTCATACTGATGCCTCTGCTATTGAGATGGAGTGTTCTCAGTTTTTGCACATATGTTGGAGTCCAAAGAACTGTCATATTCAGGAATAGATTCTGAATCAAATTCAGAACTGACAGGTCAAATAAAAGCAGAATGCAAACAGCTGGTCAGCAGATGGCCATGGCATAAGCATTTGGAGGAACTGTGTTGATGAGTTTTTCTTGGTCTTTTCGAATATTACCTAGAGCAATCTCTGAGGCCTTGAGAGAAAAAAATTCAGCAAATCGGTTTGTCAGATATTTATTTAAATGAGCATGGCTTGTATTCAGGAAACTTTATTCCCTACCATTTATGTCTGACATAGGGAAATGACTGAATGTCCAAGCAGATTTTGTTGCAGTTAGCTTAGTTAGAATGATGGCATTATTCCATTAAAGGGAGTACAGGCAATCCCTGGTAATCTTCTCTCCAAGAGGTGTGTTTAGAAAAGGAGCTATTAGTATTTGACATAATTTCAGGAAAAAAAAAAACATTTGCAAGGATACGTGCCACATTTATACTGTGTCCAATAAATGGAGTTTTGGCCACAGCGAACATGGCTAAATCCAATTGTTAGCCCCAGCTGTAGCAGGCACAGTGAATCAATAGCATTTATATTAGCATTGGTTTAACAGGTCCCATTACCGTATTTTTCCATGTATTGTATAAGGCAATACTTTTGTCTAAAATCTTTAGACTAAAAATTGGGGGTCGTTTTATACATGAAAGTAAGCCGAGGAGAGAACCACACAATTGCAAAACTGCCCTTACTTTGCCTCTGCAAACAGGCTTCCTTCAATCAGTTGGAATTGGAGCATGTAGCTGCAACAGGGACTGGTAATGTCCAAGCATTCTGAGCACACTGACAGGACTGGTATGTAAATGTTACCTTATTACTAGACAGGGACTGGTAATGTCCAAGCATTCTGCATAATATGACAGGACTGGTATGTAAATGTTACCTTATTACTAGATAATATTATATGACAGTACTGGTATGTAAATGTTACCTTATGACTAGATAAAAATATATTCTGTTTTATATTTAAAATATTGATTTCTTAATTTGGGGTTAGAAAAGTGGGGGTATCTTATACATGGGGCATCTTATACATGGAAAAATACAGTAATTTAGTAGGCCTTTTCTACTTACAACTAACAATTGGATTTAGTCATCATACTGTAAAATCATTTTTAAAAAATGTACACCTTGTAAATGTGTGTGTGTGTGTGTGTGTTGAGAAAGAGAGCACAACAGATTAAAAACTATAATTATTTTGATTATTTTCTGTTTTAAAAAGGCCTAGATATTAATAGTTTCAATTAAAATTGAGACAGAAAAAATGTGCACTGTGGAAAATATATATGTTAGTTATCAGCAACTGAATTACATTTTTGGGGGGAAATAACATGATTAAACCCAGCCTTTCTGTGTTGTGATTTAAGCCAATTTAATTTAAATAAAATCCATCCTAGGTATAGGTATATTCAACACACACGGACATGATAGGAAATACTGTACGTATGTATTTCCTATCATGTGCATACATACATACATACATAGCATTGATAATAAATAAATTCTTGAGTTCACAATTTGTAAGAGCAGTCATCTAAATATATGAATTGGGGGGAAATGAAATGCCAGAACTTTTATTTTCAATGGGACCTACACCCCTTCATTTATTGGTGTGCATCTCTGTCTGGTATCTCTTTTTGAATGGTAGTGAGTACAAGAAGGTACCCTGTTGAACAGCCATTATTGTCAACATTCAGGCTGCCCTTTGATGTGTAAAATTTGGAATCCTTTTTTCCTGCTAGTAATACAGGGATGATACTGTGCAGCAATATTGGGCCATTTCCTGGCATTTTGAACCATGAACATCTAAGCACAATATCCCACATTCATAAACTGGAAGGTTGTTGGGTTTTTTTGGAAGAATTTAATATAGCCTATAGAAAACCATTAGCAACCTGTTGATGTGTTTGCCTATTTATTCAATTTTTTAAAAACCCTCACTGATCCAGGCCAACATAAACTCCAGTGGAGGCTCTTGAAATGCCATCTTGCCACTGTTCAGTGGATAATTCACTTTGCTTTCCTTTAAGGATATTGAAAGGCTTTTGAGATATGTGAATGCTACCGTCTGTAGTTGGAGTCTTGTCCTTCACCGTTAGTGAAAGTCTGATCATGGGAAAATGAGATACTCCCTGCTTATTATAATTAATACTGTGCTGCCAAAGGATGTCTTGTCAGAGGCCTTGAAAATATTTAAAATATTTTTTTTCCTGCCTTTCTCCTTAAGAGGACCCAAGGCAGCTTATAATATTAAAACACACAATATAAAACCTGGAAGGAAAAAAGGTCCCAGCAGCCTCCCCTGCAAGTAGCTCTTAGATTCTGCGAGTCAGCTGGAGTGTAAGAGGAAGGAGAAGGAAAATTTCATTGAGCCATGATCCACTCTTCCTACCTGGGTCTCCATGTTCACAGAAAGCTAGATTTTGCCCTTAATGTTCAGTATTAACTAATACAAGAAGCAATCTCCCCATCACCATTAAGATAGGTTTCTTTGCAGTTAACATCTGCTGGCTTCCCATTATATTGTTATATATTTTAATTACTTGTTTATTGAGAGTATTTTTTACCCAAATAGTCTCCTGGAGTATTTTGTATGCAAGAAATATAAACAGTGCCCATATGCAGGCTTAATCTAAAAGGATACAACTCAAAAGGAATAGGGGATAGGGAGGAAAGAGAGAGAAAAGCAAATAGTCTTTCATCAGAGCTAAAGGAATGGTCCTACTTCTAGTCTTTTCTCTCTCAGTTGCAACCTTGTGGAATAATATTCATCTTAATTCCTTTTAGATTGGAGTTGATAAAGCTGATCGACTTTACGAAGAGTTAACTGACATGGAAAAGATTACAGGGGTTTTACAGGATTACCTGGATGATTACAATATAGTCAGCGCTAAGGAGGTAAAACTGGTATTCTTCCAAGATGCCATAGAGCATGTTTCAAGGTAAATAATTGCCCTGCCACTAACTGATTATGAATGCTATAAATATGTTATTGGCAGAAATCCTATTGTTTAGTTCAATGATACTCGCTAGAGTACACTTATTGAATCAGTGGAGGTTTGCTGAGAGAACTTCTCCATAAATTAAGTTGATTCGAATGAACCTACTTTAGTTGTGACTTACTACACTAAAGAAGGTCTCAGCTAGAGTGGACTCCTTTAAATCAATGAGGTGTCTGTGACATTGCAGGTTAATAATTCAGGGTGGTTTGTTGATGTTTCCTGTCTCTTGAGTTGATGATTGGGAAATGTACAGAAATTTTTGTCAGACTCTCTGGAACGGGGGAACAATAATGCATGCTTTCTACCAATCCTGGCTAAGGGGAAGGTCTTTAAATTCTTGTGTGGAATAAACCCATTTCTGGAGAGATGGGAGGCAGAGAGAGGGAGTCTGAAGGCATTTGCTGTGCAGATGTCTGGGAATCTTAAAAGGGATGTGTGTAGAGAGGCAACTGTCCTCCAAATGTTCATATCTTGTTTGCTTCCCATTGTGGTATACTAGACCACTTGTATACAGTATTCGTAAATAAATTAAATACTTCAGAAATACTAGTGACTTCTCATCACAAAGGAAGCCAAATGTGGATACTACTACTTCTGAAGCTCCTAACTGCTCAGAGACGTAGGAAGCACTTAACAGCTTTGTATCTCATCTATTAGTCAACCATAGGCTGAAATTTTATTACTCAACTTAGAAAGGTGCACTAGAGTATGCTAATTCAGTTGATGGATGTCTGTTGAATCAAATCCTCTGTAAGATCCATTGATTCACATGGGCCTACTCTAGTTGCAACTGAAGTGACTTACTATGCAAAGCAAAAGAATTTCACCCACTGAATTGGATTGCTGTCAAATGGAGCCAATGTGTATGTCAAATACAAATATGTATAAAAATAGCCTCTTTCCCTTTGAAAAGCCACTGAAGATCAGAGGGATTGAAGAAGAGAGAGGAAAGATGCTTTACCTTTGTCCCACCTACCATTCTTCAATCAACATTTCCTTCTGAGAAGTTCCAAATATGAGCATGTGAGGGCAACCAAGACATGTAGCAGTGAGAGGGCTGCCCTTACTTTCATGTAGTTTGAGTTTAACTCATTTTTTTAAAGGAATGCCTACATGACTAAATATCATGATATACATGACTAAATACCATGAGGGTTTAAGCACAGGATAGAAAATGGAAAATTCTTCATATTTTATGCCTTTGTCAACAGGTACTGGTTCTATCACAAGCATGAATATCAATTGCTCAAAGAAAAGAAATGCCTTTATAATGATCTATTTCTATCCTGATTTATTATGTTGTTTAGTCGTTTAATCGTGTCCGACTCTTCGTGACCCCATGGACCAGAGTATGCCAGGCCCTCTTATCTTCCACTGCCTCCAAGTTGTGTCAAATTCATGTTGGTTGCTTCGATGACACTGTCCAACCATCTCATCCTCTGTCATCCCCTTGTCCTTATGAGTGATGCACAAATGACAGGAACAGGATAATTTCTCTTATACTCGTGTTGAAGGGCTTTCCATTAGCAGTACCATCAGTAAAGCTTCTTTCTTTCTTTCTTTCTTTCTTTCTTTCTTGCAGGGTGGGGGGAGGCTGCAACAGTTAGCAGTGTTGATAGCTTGGCTATTAATTTTTACTCCATGGAGCTCTGAATCTATTGACTTCACTGGGAGTTGTGATGGAAAGAATGGATTATATTTGAAAATAGGTGTTCGGTAGTCCGTTTTTTGAGGGGAAAATAATAGAAAACTCTCAGAAACGTTCTCAGAAAAATATTTCCTGCAAAACTACATCTCACTTCTAAACATTCTTATCTGCAGATGTGAAAAACAGTGGGAAGGGTCTTACATTTTCCTAATTTTCACATTTTTAAATATCTATTCAATTTGGTTATAGAATTGCTCGAATGATACGTCAGGAGAGAGGAAATGCCCTGCTTGTTGGAGTTGGAGGCACAGGCAAGCAGTCTTTGACAAGACTTGCCTCTCATATATGTGGCTATAAATGCTTTCAGATAGAACTAAGCCGTGGTTATAATTATGACACTTTTCACGAAGACCTTAGGAAGCTGTATAAAATGGCAGGAGTAGAAGACAAAGATATGGTGTTCCTTTTTACCGATACACAGGTATGAAAAAGCAAAATAAAAATGAAATCCCACTTTGCAATAAAAATGTTACGTATGTAATAACATTCTGTATGATTTATACTATATTGTTTATGTAACCACAATACTTGACAAGAGGAATGATTGGTTTTACTGAAATAGTGAAGTTCAAATAAGTCAAAGTAATAGAAGAAAATGTTTTTATGGAAGATACATGGACCATTTAAATAATGTTTTAGAAGGTTTTTGATTGCTAAATATTTTTATTGTGGATTTATTATATTTATTAATGTTTTTAAATAGCTGCTATATTTTATTCTTTAAGCTACCTTGTGAATGTGTCTCAGGCATATGGAGTTGGTGAGCTCTCCAGCACTGAAGGCAATAAAGATAGACAACCATCTGTCAGATATACTTTAACTTGTATTCCTGCATTGAGCAATGTGTTGGACTCAATGGCCTTGCAGGATGTTTCCAACTCCATTATTCTATGATTCTGTGAAAAGCAGATTCTTTAGGCAGCTGCTGTGTAGTGATCAAGGGAAAAGAGAAACTCCCTCTGTGTAGTCATCAAGGGAAAAGAGAAACTTCCTGATAAAAAGAAAGTTTAAAGGCAAAGTGAAATCTACAGAGCGAGATTGGGTTGACACTGCAGACCTTGTGATTGTAACCTTTGACCACATATTTGGATTGCTCTGCTTCTTTCCCTGTTCGCTGCTTTTTGTCCTACACAGTCTGAAGAAGAGTTCAGGAAAACCCAAATTTTCACTCCCTAATGATATTTTGTTTATTCTTGCAATAATTCAAGAAAGATACTAAAAATGTTGTCTGACTGTGGATTAAGTATTTACAATTTGTTTTCCTATGGACCAACATGGTAATCTTTGTTTTTATCTGCTTTTTGCAAGATAATTGCAGTAACAGTGGTATAGTTGTCAGGAACCTTGGTTGTTTATTGTTTATGATTTGCTATTAAACCCCCCATGTACACACACACACACAGTAATTGTCAAGAGAAGAGCTTAGCAAATGATAAACTTGCTATGTCTCATGAATTGGTTTGAACTAATAAAAATATTCAGTTTGGACTAGAGAGAAAGATATCCATTCAATTTCTTTGCAAGATTAATATTTTTCTTAGATATAGATATTAGTGTATTCATGTTTGAAGTCTTTTAAATAACTTGAACAAAATCAGTATCTCACCCTAATCAGAAGAGAAAATCATTATGAAATGTGAAATCAAACTGTGGAAAGTCACACATCATCTGATTAAGTTATCTGTGTGTAATGAAATGAGTCATATACAGCTCCTAGTGAAAGAAATGAATAGCAAGACCAACATTCCATGGATTAGCTAAACTGAAAGAAAAGAATTTGTTAGATTGCCTTGCAATATTGCCACTGCTTCATCTCTACTGAATCAGGAGATTTTTGTATGTTCTTGAAGATCTCCCTTAACTAAGTTTGTTCCTCTGACTTTTTCTTACATTATATAGTGTTATAGAAGCATTACAACATGTTGACATAATCTCTCTTACTAAATTTTTGTAAGAAATGAAAATGAGAAAGATATCAGATACTCTTCAGCCTTCCTAGACAAGACAATGTGCACCCTTAAGAGGAAAACTAGTGTTTTATTCTAATACATTCTGACCTCAATCTTAATTTGGCAAATTAGCTTTCTTTTATTTTGCTGTTCATTATTTGGGAGACAGCATGGTTTTGTAGCACTGAAAGATTGGTTTGATGTGAATCTTAGAGACGTATTGAACATTGACTTACTCCAAGCAATGTTGAAAAATGCTCTCTAATTGCCCAAGCATGTTTTTGTTAGGGTTACTATTACTTTCACACTGGTATACATAATTTTTAACATATAATGACTTGGGAAATGACTGGACCATTTGAACAATTATACAGGTCTATGTCTATTGATGTGCATTTAATTGGAGAATTGCTGCAAATTAGTTTATGCATTTCCTGTTACATGTATTTGTCAGTACAGAGTCTGCTGTACTAATTTCTGTCTTTTCTGTATGCACCGAAATCCATTTTAAACAACAAAAACAAAGAATCTTGTGGCATCTTAAAGATACTGTATATAAATTTAGTATGGCATAAACATTTATATAAGAGTCCAAAATATTATACTCTTACTAAACTATTGCATATCCCTTTGGTTTGGGAAGGATTATAAGCAATAAATCAGAATTAAATGCAAAAAATACTATGACAATTGACATAAAGCTTAGTGTTTGCCTTTCACAAATCAGTGTTATGATAACAGAAACACTTTGACATTACTAAATTCCATGAACTCATTTAGTGCAAGAAAAAAACTACCAAAACCCAGATCAAAGGCAAAAAAACCATACCTCTGGCTATAACTCAATTTTTTCTCAGATCCATGTATGTGGTATATAAAATTATTAAATGGAGGAATACTAAGGTTGTTGTTGTTGCACTTTATGCTGCCTTTTCCTGGTGAAGGGACTCAAGGCAGGGCACACATCATGAAAACATACAGGAATTGAAATAAAATATACAAACCATCAAAAAGCTATTAAACACAGTAGTGTTAAAACATTTGTTGAAAAACAATTTATTTATTTATTTATTTATTTATTTATTTATTTATTTATTTATTTATTTATTTATTTGATTCCCGCCCATCTGGTCTAAAAGATCACTCTAGAAGACATAAAAACATTAAAAAGGATATTAAAGCAGCAGCTGTAAGGTAACTGTGTTAAAACTGTATATCAAAAGCCTGTCTCAAAGAATCAAGAGCCAGTTTAAAAAAAAAACTTTCCCATCACAAAAGCAGTAGGCAATGTGCTTTTATTATCTCATCAGTTAATACTGATATACATTTTGGAAAATTTATGTTTATTTTTAATTTAAATGACACTCTCTTACCTACTTAAATCTTTGTAATATTGATGGAACTTAATCAGGATCCTGTGGACTCCAAGCAGCAAAACAGAAATAAAAAGAAATTAAGCTCAAATACCATATTTTCCCTATATTATTATAGTTTGTTTTATTTTCTGACTATAGGTTCTTTTAAAAACATTATGACATATGTTTTTATGGTAAAAATATTTGTCAAATCTGTAGATTGTTGTTGAGGAATTTCTAGAAGATATAAACAATATTCTGAATTCTGGAGAAGTACCAAATTTGTTTGAAAAGGATGAATTGGAATTTGTTATGGCAGCTACCCGACCAAAAGCAAAAGAAGCAGGTATAGCAGAAGGCAACAGGGATGAGGTAAGACAATATACATTTGGGGGATATGCATTTGGATTCAGAAATATTCAGATTTCACTGAACAATGCCATATTCAGAGAGTTCTAAATATAATTGAATCCAGAATTGAAAGTTCTGAGTATCTATAATAATAATTTTTAATATTTGGAGCCCCATTTGCTCTTATAGATTAGAAGGCAAAAGGCTAGGTTTCAGCTTGCTAGGTTAAGAATTAAAAGTAAAACCTATTTCTCAAGCATACTGGAGTGATTTCTTGAGAAATGAAACTTAAAGACATGCTGGTCCAAAGGGTAGCGGGGACAGTGGGGGGGAGACTGGGGTTGCCATGGGTTTCCCAGGGAGAGGGGCTAGTGTGAGAGCAAAACCTGTAGATCAGTGGTGTCGAACTGTGGCCCTCCAGATGTTCTTGGCCTTCAACTCCCAGAAATCCTGGCCAGCAGAGGTGGTGGTGAAGGCTTCTGGGAGTTGAAGTCCAAGAACATCTGGAGGGCCACAGTTCGACACCACTGCTGTAGATGATATTTCTTAGCTCCAAAGAAATCCAAAAGCAAGTGCCAGAAAACTGCACTGCAGCAGTTTTCTCTGTATCCTCTGAAATCTCACATTAGGTTCACATTCTCTGCATCTCATTGTATGTTTTTTTGCTTAATATAGTTAGAAATAAAGTTTAGGATTACTAGATTCATGGATTAATAAATTATAAATCAACAGGAAAATATTATACTAGGGTCAGGCCTGTTTGAGATATATCAGGCAGTGGAATAGGATATTGTTATATATGAATTGATATCTTAAGTTAATAAATTTTGAGTCTCTGTGTGATTTTCATAGGAACAATTTGTGTTCTGCTATAGCAGAATCCGATCTTCTTTGGTAGAGTTTGCCAGCAATATGAAATGTGGGTGTGGTAGAAGAAGTAGGCACTTGGAAAGGCTGCAGGAAGGCTGCCTGCACCCACTGCAGCAGCTTCTACTGAGAGAAATGGTTGAGGGAGATGGAGAGGAAGAGGAAAATGATAGCCTACTACTGCTACTTTGAGCTTCCCAAACAAAATTTTCACCCAGCTGTCTTGTTTGACCCTGACACTATGACAGAGTAGCAGGCAGCAGTACAAGGTGCATGTTTCTCTACCAAGGAGGTAGCAGAAAAGCCTCTGGTTCAAGGTGGGACTGATATGAGTGAACTTCAGGCATGTTACAGTGACGTCTTTGTGTAATCCAGCTAGGGCAAGGGGCCAAAAAAGTTGGTGAATCAAGTACTTTTCTCCCAAAGAGCTGATGTACCAGAGAAGGAACACTCATAAATTTCTTATTCGTTATGAATGTTCCCAATTTTATTTGTCCTATCATTATTATATCATACTTTCTTCTTACCCTTGAATTAATACTTTTGGCTGCCTTTTCTCAGGTTTTTCAGTACTTCATTAATCGAGTGCGACAGAAGCTACACATTGTTCTGTGCATGAGCCCAGTAGGAGATGCTTTCAGAGCACGTTGCAGAATGTTTCCATCACTTGTGAATTGCTGTACTATTGACTGGTTTGTGCAGGTAACTAATTTCAGTTGAATAATTTTGTTCAGATGTCAAGGAATACTTACAAAGGAATATGTGCCTCACTCTCTTTGGCTGGTGTTTCCCCATTACATTTATGGTTATTACCGATACTCTGTAATGTAATTGATTGTTTTTACCACAGTTGATATAATTTTGCTCATCTTGAAATGCCAACACATTAATTAGTCTTTAACCTCCCTCTGTATTTCATGCATTTTGACCAAACTCTCTTCCTTCAAATACTACTATGCCCAAAATCCTGTTGCTTAACATAGTAAACTGCACTAACATAGTAAGTCGCAGTTGGAGTATGCCCATTTGAAACAATAGCACATATGGAGGATTTGACTCACTAAATCCCCATTGATTCAGTGGGCCTATTATAGTGTGATTTACTAAGCTCAGTAATAGAATTTTGACCAATATGTAGTCTTTATAAAAGTTCTCCTTGGAGATTTTGCTTGCTGTATTAATGCTATTTTTACTTCCCTCAAAATGTCCAAAAATGTCCCATGTACTTCCATCAGAATTTTCAAATTCATCTCATTATTTCATTGGCTGAAGTGCTTTTCCTTAGTATGGTAAATCACACTAGAGTAGCATTGAATCAGTGAGAATTTGTTGAGACAATGCCTCCATTAAGTTCTACTGATTTATGGGGGAAGACCGAACAGTGGACCTCCCATTGGATCTGTTAACTGGAGGTCAAAGGACCAGACTTTACTGAGACTGAAGCTTCTCTATTGAATACACATGCACAGGGGCAATCTCCTGACTGAAAGGAGGACTATAAATTGAATCAGCCAAACAGGCATTTTATAAATGTTACATTTCATCATAAATCATACCAGACCAACCAACATAGTACACACCAGCATGATCCCATATTGTGGTACTTGTTTAGTCAGCTTCAATAAACTACACATGTGCAAAAACATGAGTTCACCAAAAGTTCAAACATCATACTAAGTGACAAAATGGAGTTTGCCCTGCTTTATTTCTCCAACAGATTCAAATGGACCTACTCTAGTTGTGACTTAGTGTGCTAAGCAATGGGATTTCAACCTCTGTTTGAGATACCAGGTGGATTTCTAAATCCAGATGTTAGCAATTTTGCCCAGTCATGGTGCATTCCTTCATCAGTACCAACCTGCACCAGACTGTTCAGTCCTAAAGAGCTAAAGAAAGTGTTTTCTTTCTCTTTTCTTTGAGAATATAAACGGGAACATTTGCTTTAACTTTGCCAAGTAAGCAGTTTTACAGTTTTACTTACTGTTTTGCTAGCATCTTACAGCCCATGCACCCACACGTTCATCTCCAATCTTGCTGAGAAGACTGGAAATGTTATAAAGTCCAAGTGTTCGTAATTGTGGAAAATCGGCTGCTACCATATAAACCAATTCAGCTACAGCAATCTTTTTTTTTTTTTTTTTGAAAATTCCTTATTAGAAAATGTTTAGGGCATTGAATATAGCACTGGAAAAATTATTTGGCTAACCTTTTTTATTATTATTTTTCAGTGGCCTAGAGAAGCTCTTCATTCTGTATCAAAGACTTTTTTTCTGCATGTTGACCTTGGAAGTGAGAGCATGAAAGAGAAACTCTCCATGATGTGTGTAGACATCCACATGAGTGTGACAGATATGGCAGAACAGTACTATGCTGAACTACGGCGACGCTACTATACAACACCCACTTCCTATTTAGAGTTAATCAATCTTTACTTGACCATGCTCAGTGAAAAAAGAAAGCAACTGGTTTCAGTAGGTTGAATTTTATTAGAAAGAATATTTTAATTAAGTATGGACGTGAACATTGTTTCCTTCGCACATTATTTTTTCCTGTTTTATATGAAAAAGTATAAACCTGTCTGTTTTATTTCTTCTCTTAATATCTTTAATACTAATTGTATCACTCAAATACTATTGCATTTTTGATGGAGGTAAAGGGAAGGTTTTTGAGTTTCCTGGGCTGCCTGTTGCATGCCCCTTGCACAACCAGATGCACAATTAATTGTGCAATGGGAGGAAGACAAGCATGTGACAGATAGCTCAGGAAACAACTCAAATAGCTTTTGAAAGCCCTGTGATCATGTAGGCAATATGATTCTGATCTGTATAACTTTATGAGGTTTCCAGCAGTCAACATTTCTTGCTAATTATATCATTTGAACCACACTAATGCTTTAAAAAACCCATACTAACATCAGATTAAATCATGTAGCAGTACTGATTTTAGTGAAACTACTCATCTGTTTTAGAGTGGGGGTGGGAAAATCTCAGAAATTTTAGATTACAGCTATTATTTATTTATTTATTTGTTTGTATGTTTGTTTGTTTGTTTGTTTATATGCTGCCCACTCTACCCAGAGGTCTCTGGGTGGCTTACAACAATTATAACTGTTTATCATTTATCAGTCCTGGCTTGAACTGCTCGGAGTTAAAGCCCCAGGCATCTGGAGAGCCAAAAAGTCCCCATACCCATGCTAGAAAGTTGTAGTGCTGTCATGTTGTATCTGGACATTGGGGTCTGTAGAAGTACATGGTGATTCGTAAACATGTATTCTTGTTATGTGTGAAAAGCTATCACTGGGTGGAGAAGGGACAGAACATTTGCATGGATCTGAGGGTTATACTGTTGCTGATTTGCCACCAAAATGAAGCAGCATGATGGTGAAAAGGGTTGTTTTTCTATGAGCAAGATGCATTCCACTTCCATAGATTATTTGCAGTTAGATTTGCTGTCCCATAAGCCTCCAGAAGCTTGCCTCAGATTGCCTCCCAGATGTTCAAGGCACAGACATATTTTGTTTAAGAGATGGGGTTGGGTAGTGCTTTTGGAGTTGAAGTGCTGGTTTTGCTGCCACATGACCTGATTCCTACAGCAAAATCATTGATGGTGGTAGGGGATCCGGAGCATGACTGAAGAATGTCTGAAGGGTAGTCAGCAAACCAAAGGCCATATGTTGTTCACTCCTGCTATAGACAGTCCAAGCCCAACACAATGGCACAAGTTTTGTACACTAGATACTGCTTATATTGTTGAGATTCAACTTGGGAGTTGTCTTAGTTTTAGGTTGTATATACAAGCTTAATTTTAGAAGAATATTTATCTTAAAAAGAAATATTCAGTGGTCCCTTTAATATGATTGGTCTTGCTACTTAAGACAGTGGTAAGACACACTGGCTGAAATCTAGTAGTCACTGGTAGGTAGACCCATTGAATCAGTAGGCATTTGGTGAGTCACCTGTTCAGTTTCATTCATTCAGTGGGACTACTCTAGTCATTACTTAATATTAGATTTTAGCCATTGTGGTAATGGCTTTAATGTTACTGCACTGACGGTAGTAGTTTTTCTTTAATCATTATACTGTGTACTGACATAAGTCGTGTACTGCAGTTCTCTTTTGTTTTGGTTATTATAATAGCCAAAATCCTGTTTGCTTATGTGGTCATGGAAGGAAAATGCTTGTCTGATTGCCTTAATTGACCAACTGATTGCTAAATCAGGTGCACTGCCACTGAAGTAGGGCGAAATGGCTGCATGACTGTGATCAGTATGCTGATTATCTCAAGCAGGTTCTGGTCTATGTTACAGTGTATGAAATTTTGGAACAGTAATTGGCATGCTATTAACCCAAAAAATTTACTATTAGGCTCGTGATCGTGTAAAGAATGGCTTAAGCAAATTATTAGAGACAAATGTACTTGTTGATAAAATGAAACTGGACTTGTCAGCTTTGGAACCAGTCCTCAAGGAAAAATCAGTGGATGTTGAAGCTTTGATGGAAAAATTAGCAGTAGATCAAGAAAATGCGGATCAGGTATGAAGTGTTACACTCTTTTATTATGAACTAATTGTTACTTTAATATAGCGTACATTAACAACCAAGCTGCATGCTATATCCTCATACAATGTTGAGTTTCCTATATGGCATTTACCACATAGCACTTCCTGTATGAAGTAATGAACTTAAAAATTAGGAAGCGAATTTTTAATGGTTAAGGGACTTTAACTTTTTGCATGAATCAAAGCTTCTATGGTATCATTGATTCACTTATGATACCAAGCTCCTTTTTACTGCTAGGACATTGCTCCACATAACTCAACAGTAACAGTAGTTCTTCTAATTCTCACTTTACTAAAAGTACCAGTAACTTAACAAGAGACATCCTATTTGAAAGCCTTTTGCTTTACTACTAATGGTACAATCTTAAGCATGTTTGTTGAGAAATAAGGTTTCCTGAATGTAAATGTATTTCCCTTTTCATTTTCAGACATACAAACAAGAGATTAAGTTTCTGCAATCCAGTGAGAGCAGTTCTTCCAGAACTAGATTAGAAAATCAAAATCAAGCTTTATCTCTACAAATCTTTCACGTTCAATGACTTATATAAAAATATGTCACACAATTTTCTAATATTGCTATGTGCAACAATCTTCTTTTGACAGTAGACCTTTGGTTCAGCCCTGCTTTTCCATTGGCTGAATTAAAAACAGACAACATTTGCAGATTTCCTGCTTCTGTTACAGCACTGTGTGTCTTACCATACATGTGATTCAAAGTGTCATGGAGACCTCTGGGACAGTTGAGAGGGTGGCATGAGGAGTGTGCATAGCATGGAGGGACTAGCAAAAATCCTCCATTCTCCTTTTCTGCTAGTCTAGGAGGAGGATTCAGGGACATTCCCATCAGTGGAATAAAATCTCTCTTAATGTTTCATCCAGGTTCGGCGTGTTGTTCAGGAAGATGAAGCTATTGCAAAAGTAAAAGCAGAGGAAACTCAGGCAATAGCTGACGATGCTCAGCGTGATTTGGATGAGGCCCTTCCAGCTTTAGAGGCTGCCAACAAAGCTCTTGATTCTTTGGATAAGGCAGATATTTCTGAAATCAGAGTTTTCACTAAACCACCTGATCTGGTCATGACAGTGATGGAAGCTATTTGTATTCTTCTAAATGCAAAGTAAGTTAGCCCTACTTGTAATGAATTTCAGTATTTATCTGAGTTATGAAGTACAAAGGAAATAACACCTATTTCCAAAACTGTCTAGCAAGGAGAGACAATAGTCCCAGGATGTAAAAAAGGTATCAGTATTTTCATTCAGAGATAAGAGCCCAACACATTTCAGCTAATACACTTTCAGCCTTGTTAGGGGTGTTAATATTGCACTTGTATTGAATATGTCTCTGAGGATTTTTTTAAGGGACAGTTTCCCACTCCTTTTCAGATAAAAAGATTTTATCTGAAAAAAAGGAGTGGGAAACTGTCCCTACTGTGAAATACTGGGGGAACCAGTGCAGGAAACACCACCAGCAGAGAAAGCAGCAAGGATGAACAGCCTTGCTGCCAGGTTACTTCGAAGGGAGTTCTCCAAGCCAAACAGCTGGTCTGCCAACCATCTGGCCTCCTCCTCCTCACCATCCAGGTAAACCCTCCCAGGTCCACCTGGACTTTGGGTGTGCCTATCGAGAGAAATATCACACTTATGACCCAGTGTGGCAAGCAGCAACCACTCAGGAGCAGCTGGGGAAACTACAGGCGTGCATCCAGCACCCTTGCTGTGGCACCCTATGTTTGGTGCACCTGAGAAGTCTTCTCAGCCTGGAAGAGAAGGCTCTGCTCTGCTCCTCCCAACAATAAAGACTCAGAAAGATGGTTCCTTGAGAACAAGACTGTTTGGGAGAATGTTAAACTTCCTGCTGCCCATTAAGACATTTGAGTACTTCATTAAGCCACGTTGACTAGGTTTCTGTTACAGTTCCTGCACATACTTCTGGCATCTCCATGGGGGCGCATGGGGGCCATTCACAGTATGTATGTATTATAATATCCATTAACAAGGGGAAAACAAAATTACGGCCATCAGTCTCTTGGACTACAATAACCTGTAATTGTGATTTTGATGTGTGAGAATAGTCAAAAATTCCTAATGGAGAAACACATTTTGGGGATAATTGTTGGACCATATTCTGATCTTTTTTTTCTTCTAAATGAGCTAATTTTTATGGAGCTTGATGACAATATAATATGCTTCAAACAGTCAGCTACTAATAAGTATCTCAGTGGACTCTAAAGATGCATTACATTAAATAGATTTGTCAGAAAGCAAATGAAAGTCACAGTGAATGTCTGAAAGGACAAATAGTCGAGTTTTCAGAGCTAAATGAAACAAAGATGGGTGTGTTACCCTTTCACCTTGTTGCAAAATATGACCTTGATGTTTCTAAGTAATAGGAAAATAATACTGATTCCTCAATCTTAGATACATTTAGAGAAATACCATATTTTTCTGTATATAAGATGATACTTTTTGTCTAAAATCTTTAGACTAAAAATTGAGGGTCATCTTATACATGGAAGTAAGCTGAGGAGATAACAAAATGGCCCATACTTTGCCTCTGCAAACAGGCTTCCTTCAGTAATGAAGCTTAGCTTCCTTCAGTCCAGATCCTGCAGCACTTTGATCCCTTTCCCACTCCTTTTGCTAAGCCCTGCGAGGCTTAGCAAGAAGGGGGAAAGCAGGGATCAAAGTGATTGGAATATACCTCTTTGGAGGTGGAGCCTGTAGGCAATACTCAGATTCAACAGGGACTTGTAATATCAGAGCGTTCTGAGCTCAGAGGCTGAATAATCAAAGCTAAGATTTCTTAATTTGGGGTTAGAAAAGTGGAGGGGCATCATACACTGAAAAATATGGCATTATTTTAAGAATGTTCTCCCCCCCCCTTAGGATGCCCTATTCAGTATTTTTTTATTGATTAAAGCATTTCTAGCCCACTCTTTATCAGAAGATCTTGGGGCATGTTACAATTGATTGTGGCTTTCTTAGAGGACGCTTTTTGTTGAAGTCAATTTATATCCTTGGGAGGAAAACTTAGACATAGTTGCAGTAGAAATGCTTTTGCTAGCTAGATGAGGGCACCTTTACAATGGATAACTGCCCCATATTGCAGCCTACCTCCAAGGCTCTCTTCCAGAATAGTGATTGCATTTGTGCTTGGGTATCTCTGAGAGCTTTTGTGGGATGATGGACTGGTCCATACTAAAATCTTCTTTGTCCATGATTCCATAATGTATTAGACTCTTGATCAGGCATATATAACCAATGGTACATGGAATTATCTAAATCAGTACAACTCTTGAGACTACGTATCTTATTTTATAGTAACACCTTTCACTGGACCTGTCATTCATTTTGCCTCAGCATCTGTCTTAGACATGTAATGATAATTAATTCTTAATTTGCCATTCTTTGCAGTCTGTTTTATCAAGGTTGCAATCTTGTATTCTGTGTTATTATTTACTTAAGCCCAATAAATGTACTACCAGTGTTGATATATGTATTGTGGCTACTATCACAAACACATTTACAAGGCAGTAAGCTTCCTGTGTTTACTGTATGACTTGCTTCTCAGTAAATATGCATATGATTTCAAAATACATTGGCTAAAATCCTATTGCTTTGTTACACATACAGAAGGCAAATGTGTTAACATTCAGATGCTTCCAACTGGCAATTAATCAGTCCCTGCTGTGATTCTTCAGTGGGCACCATGTCAACTAGTTAGTTATTTGCCAGCTAGAAATGAATGAATGTTGCACTGTTTGCCTTCTGCATGTGTAATAAAATAACAGGATTTCAGCCAATATCTATTAACGTTAATATGAAAAAACATTGATGCTGTTCCTAAATACCCTGGAAAAATCACCTTCCTCTAAATCAACCTGTGTATGCCCTTAGATCAGTGTGGAAATCTGTGTTCCTTATTATTGGAGTGCAGTAGTTCCTGAGCCTTTCAGTATTATGCTCTTTTAATTTTGAAAAACCCTCCCACCTCTTCTTCTTTACTGTCATCCTCTTAGTTAAATAATAATAATTTTTAAAACACAAAAACTTAAAATAAGCAGAATATATTTTTCTTTCTTAAACAGTTTAAGTAAAATATATATTAACATAAGAAACAGCAGAAACAAAAGAAACCTAATATGAAGGACATTGCCGCATCTCATAGTCTTGCTGCACCCTTGAGTTTCCTTAAACATGCTGAGGGGGGACACCTTGCCATTTAGGATCCTATTGCTCACAACTCACATTCACTATTTTGGCAACATAGAGGGCACAACACAGAGCAGCTTTGCCAGCTTGTTGTACAAAATGTCTCCACAGAGTACATTAAATCCATGAAGGTGCCACTTGAACTTCAGTTCAAACTATCACAAAATGTTATGAATCATGAGGCAGCAAAGCTCTATATTCTAAGCTGCCTCCTGTCTTCACCCTAAGACATATATTATCACTTACATTTTTTCTGTTTCCATGCTGTAATTAATTATCTGTGGTGTCCATTTGGTCTAAATACATATTTCATTGTAACACTGATATAGGAAACTGACGTTTCAAAAACATGAAACTATATTAGTTATTTTATTCTCTGAGGCAGACATTTCTAAATTCCATCCCTTTTTTTAAATCTTTCAGGCCAGACTGGGCAACAGCAAAACAGCTTCTTGGAGACTCTGCTTTCCTCAAAAAGCTTTTAGAATATGATAAAGAGAATATAAAGGGTCAAGTATTGCTTAAGCTTCAGAAATATATAAACAACCCTGATTTTATCCCAGAAAAAGTGGAGAAAGTGTCAAAGGCATGCAAGTCTATGTGCATGTGGGTGAGAGCTATGGATTTATACTCTCGCATCGTCAAGGTGGTGGAGCCGAAGAGGCAGAAATTAAATGCTGCGCAGGTGCTTGTCTTTTCTTCTCCAAAGATCTTTTATATGTTTTATAATTATTGAATGTTGGAAAATGTCTTCCATCTTCTGGGCTTTTTTCTTCTTCTCAGTCTTACCTGGAGTAAGCTACTATGCTGAGATCAGTGCATTTCTCTGGTAGAAGAAGCTATTGCTTCTCCCACCCAAGAAGATGAAAGGTTATTTACTTTGCCTGCTCTGTTCTGAGAAGTGCTTCCAGCCCTCAAATACCAAAGCTATGGAGGCAGTATTTGACTGGAGCTTCAGAACTCACCTGACTGGGCTTTTTGCTTGGTCCTCTTCTTCTCGTTTTTGTCTCTGCCATCTGTATCCTGGGAAGGAAACAGAGCCATCATGGGTGAGGAAGGAGAAACATGAGATGGCCCTTTAGAGATTTCAGTCCTCTTTCTCTTACCTTCATCCTTAAGGTCAGGTTCACTGAAGTAAAGACAATCTGGCCACGTTTATCAAACAAGACTCCCTTCAAAATGCCACCAAAGCAATGCTTCCCCAACAAACAACTCTGCTTCCTTTGTTTTACCAAAGTATTTCCCCTGTGTCAGGTTAATAGTTATTGAGTAGATTGAGGTACTTCCTGCCTTGTTTGTTTCAGGTTGTTTTTTTGGTGGGTGGGGGTGGTTTTGTTGTTTTCTGGGCTTTTGTTTGTGTTGGCTTTTGCTGACCAGCATAGCTGAATCTACAGGCTACGTCACTAGTGCAAGTGGAACTTGCTGCATCCTGTCAGAACAGTGACTTTCTGTGTTGAAACTGAAAGCAACCGTGGTTGTCTTCAGTTTCTTGGAGGGGTTCATGGAGGGGATGTACTGGTGATGTGATAGTAGGCTATTGTTTCTTCACTTTCTTTTTGATCCCCATTATTGCCACTCTCTGTGGCAGCAGGTAAATTCCATGTATTGGCAGTTGCCTACTACTACACCTCAAGATGCTGTGGGATGAAGTAGCATCATTTCTAGTGACATGCGGGGCTGGGTTATTAGCTACTAGTCATCAGATGCCAACAGCCATTCTGCTGTTTCCTCAGGTATAAGGATGTAGTGAATAATCAGAAAATTTCTTATCTTTAGTGGGAAAAGTGCCTTTACACATTGAGACACTGCATCCAAAAAATATTTTCATTCCTGTAATATATTAATGGCTACATCAAAGGTCAAAATAGTCAGTGTAGTCAGATACTAAAAGATATGGATATGGATAAATTAAATATCACCTATAGTTTCCCTGTGTAGTATGAGGAAGTACGGTGAGGGACATTTCTTGCAGGACTCTTGTGATAATGAGTAAGACATACAAAATATTTGGCACCCTAATTCCAAACATCAATTTGTAATGCTCATTAGGCAGAGCTTGATGCGACTTTGGCTACCCTCAAAGATAAACAGAAAAAACTGAGACAGGTAGAAGAACAAATACAAGAATTACAAGACCAATATGAAAAAAGTGTGGAGGAAAAAGAAAACCTGGGTAAGTGACTATTTTAAAGGTTTTAAAATATAGTTTTAATGATATATTTTCACTGCATTTTCACACTCATTCTAAGAAATGATACCAATCATTTTCTAGAGCTCTAGATATGCTGGTAGGCTGGAGATGTACTGGAGCTCCTGTGCTATTTTACCCTTAACAATGAGAAAAACACAAGAGGGATTGATAAGCTCCAAAAATCTGCCCTATGCCTTCTTTGACAACAAATGCTCACTGATATTATCAATAACTGGCTTGTAGATCAACAATCTCAGATCCACAAACATCTTAAAGATGTGAGACAGTACTTCTCAGATGCCTATAACTGTAAAATTCCTCATGTGCATAAACTGTATATCTTCCACTCTTAATGTATCACATAATTTGTTTTCTTTCATTGTGTAATTCCTGTTACTGAGAATTTTAAGACAAAATATACAGACATCAAAATATCAATATACAGTGGTGCCCCGCAGGATGATAATCCGTTCCATAGAAATCGCTGTCTTGTGAAAACATCATCTTGCGAAAACCCTTTCCCCATTGGAATGCATTGAAACCCATTTAATGTGTTCCAATGGGGAAAAATCATCGTCATCGAAGATTGTCCATAGGGAAGCCATTTTGTGAAGCGCCGATCAGCTCTTAAAATGGCTGCCCTGCGAAGCATCGGTCCCGAAAACAGCTGTTTTGTGAAGCGCCAATCCGTGCCGAAATCGTCGTCTTGCGAGAAATGGTTTGCGTAGCAGGGACCCAAACATCGTCCAGTGAAAATCGCCTATTGGAATCACTGTTTTGCGAATCACTATAGCGATTGCAAAACCTCATCATCATGTGGATTCATCATTTTGTGAAGTCGTCATCTAGCGAGGTTCCACTGTAAAAGAAAAGATATTATGTTATGTATCGTATGACTCAGGAGCCCCAAACAAAGCTAAGAAGCTCCAGTCTAAGCAGCTTTCTTCCTTGGGACACACTTTTCAACAATGTTTTGAGTAGCTTTCAGGGACCAATTATGGGGTACAACTCTAAAAGATGTGGGGAAGATGAGGAAATGCTGCCTGGAGGGCATGTGATTTTGTTGAGATTTTTAAAAAGTCTTTATATCTGCTGTAGCATCATGTTGAAATATCTCAGACCTGAGTACTTAATTCCAGTTTGCAGATAAAGATATACATCAAAGGAAGGAATCACTGCAAAGTGTATAGTATATTGTTTTATGTTAATCAGTTATCGCAGCGGGCATATGAATGTACTTTATACTTTTGAATTATTATTATCTACAGTAGAAGGCATGTGATTTTGTTGAGATTTTTAAAAAGTCTTTATATCTTCTGTAGCATCATGTTGTTGAAATATCTCAGACCTGAGTACTTAATTCCAGTTTGCAGATAAAGATATACATCAAAGGACAAGAGAGCATTGTAAAAAAAAAAAAAAACTAGACTGGAAATTGTAAAGGAATCCACTTGGTATAATCTAGTTTTATTAAGATAAATCCATTACAGAAAATAGCACTGTGAAAGCTCTGGCATTACTTGTTTCTTACTTTGTCCATGCTCAAATGTCATTAGCTCAAAATGGTGAGAAGGCTTAAGCAAAATGAATTATTGTTTTTAAATAAATAATGACCATGTTCTAGTAATGTTTTCACTATTTAGCAAGGACCATGGCACTGACTCAAGCTCGTCTTACTCGAGCTGGAAAACTTACAGCTGCGTTAGGAGATGAACAGGTCCGGTGGGAAGAGAGTATTTTAAACTTTGAAGCAGAGATTTCAAACATCACTGGAAATGTGTTCATAGCTGCAGCTTGTGTAGCCTATTATGGGGCTTTTACAGCACATTATAGACATCTGGTGAGTTAATGGTTTATGTTTTGAGCCTTCCTCATACTATTATATATGTATTTTAGCATAAAAACTGAATAGTTAATAGAAATAGAGATTTCCTCTTTTCTTCAAGGGGAGTTTAGCAAAATAGTTATCCACTGATGACATGTATCTGAAAACAGTGGCACGAATCCAACAGGAAGAAATTGTGACAAGTTGTGTGAACAGTAGCCAGGCTGAAAAGGACCAATGTACAAGCTTATATTAGTGTTCACCTCGGGTTTTATCAATTTGTATAGGAATATACTAGCGGAGTATAATAGCTTGACAGGAGTAATTACTCTAGATACTGGTGATTAGACAAAAATTTTAATAAGTAGATGTAATTGTTTTATTTTTGAAAGAGGTTACTGTGAAACAACCGGGGCCAGGCTCCTCACTATAGCCACTTAGCAATGCTGCCTCCTGCTTGTTCTGAGATGGGAGCACTGAGAGCGAGCAGTCACAGGGAGAGGCTATGAGTCTTGGCTGAGAATGTTTCCCCTCTCCAACATGGCTTCCAGCATTTGATATTGTTTGTGTTCCAGAGGATTTAATGCACAAAATGTGATAGGCTGCCACCAGCGCCCATAAAAAATATTAAAAAATTCAGTAGTAGTTTGAATGAGGCTAGGATTGGATGTTTAATACCACACTTTCCTCTCATTTATTCTCCAGATGATGGTTTGAAAGGATTTTTGTATTTTTTTTAAAAAGAAAAGGGGGAGAAAAGACAATTAAAAAAGGGAAGTAGTTGCTGATACAAAAGCAAATGCAGTTACAGGATTACAGCATTTAAAAGCAGAAACACACTAGAAAATAGTAATCTCTAATTTACCCTATCTGTGTAGTACCTAAATAGAGAGATGGAGTAAGCCTGGGGAATACTCCTGTGTTCTCCAGTATAATTTTTTTGCACAGCACACAAAGCTCTCCTCACAAGTAACACTGCAACTAGAAAGCAAAGCGGGGGGGGGGTCCACCTTTGTCCACAGAACTGCACTGGAAAGGAGGAGAAGAGGAACAATAATTCTGTGTATTCTCAAAGGCTTTCACGTCTGGCATCCAATGGTTTTTACAGCCTGAAAAAAGGTCAACAAACTCTACCCAGCCACAAGAACTGGTGATCACTGCAGACAAAAGACTAGCTAACGACACCCATCAATCACCATGACAGATCATCTCCCCACTTATCACAATATACCCATAACAAAAAACACCATGATCACCATGTCTCATGAAAAGGACAAAAAGCTGATCCCACAGCTAAAAATACTCAACTATCCCACACACTACACCAGAACACAGAGTTCCAACTCCTGTCCTCTGAAGATGCCGGACACAGAGACTGGCTCAACATTAGGAAGGAAAACCTCCAGAACACGGCCAAACAGCCCAAAAAACCTACAACCACCAATAATTATGTGCTTCACAACTGAATGCTAGGCTCAAAGACTTAGTTTCCCAATTTCCATTTTATACAAACGAATGGGCCAGTCGTATCTGAGGCCAACCATCACATAATTACTCTTAATCTGCTTTGAACATTCTGATAAGACAAAGGCATGTCTCCTTCCCAAATCCAAAATCTGCATGCTTATGGTATATACTTATTTTTGGTGGAAATTTTTAAAAAATCATACAAATGGTTAAAAATTAAAAAAGATAGGTTCTGCAGATGTGGAAAGTTTTGTCTTTAAATGATTTTCCTCATTTGTTCCAGCACTTCTTATATCCCTACTCATCAGTCAAAATCTTATTTGCTATGTTAGCCTAAATGAAATAGCATAAACAACAATAGCAAATTGCCACTAGTTAAGTCAATGCTAGTATTCAGTTTCACATATCAACTCATGTGATTCATTTACAAAAAGGAATATAAGCTTCAGCTGATTAACTATGGGCAATTCATCATTATAATTTATTTCATTTGGTTTACACTGCCATATGCAAGTAACAGGATTCTGGCTATTTCTTCCTGCTAACAGTATCCACCTAGTTGGTATCTCAGATGCAACCAAGATGTTTTTCCTGGAGAAAGCCAGACCCTAAGAAATGAGAAGATCTTTACTGGTGACTTAGAAGTCTGACTTTTCTCATTTTGGTCCCCACTGCTAACAAAACACAGCTCTTCCTCTCCTTAGGCTATTTGTGCCCTGTAATATTATGTGATATCACTGGAGATCAGCCAATGGTCTATAGGTTGGTAAGACTTTAGTTACATTGTTGATCCTTAACATTATTTTTGCTTTTAAAAAGTCACTTGTAGGGCTGATCAATTAACCTATCTTAAAAATTGTAACAAAAATATTCCTTACTTGCTTCTTCTCTTCCAATCTTTATTTGCTTCTTCTTTCATCTCAGTTAATAGAGCACTGGATCAAACAGTGTCAGGATCTAAATATTCCAATTAGTTCTGAGTTCAGTCTTATAAATATTTTGGGAGATCCCTATGAAATTCGACAGTGGAACACCGATGGATTACCACGTGACTATGTTTCCACAGAAAATGGCATTCTTGTAACACAGGGGCGACGCTGGCCACTCATGATTGATCCCCAAGACCAGGTAAGGAATCACTGCAAAGTGTATAGTATATTGTTTTATGTTAATCAGTTATCGCAGCGGGCATATGAATGTACTTTATACTTTTGAATTATTATTATCTACAGTAGAAGAATATGCCGCAAGTATACTTTTCAAAAAGATGAGTACTCTGTTCAAGTGTTTTCCACATTTATCAAGAATATAGAAATAACTGTAAAGTTGGGGTGTGTGATCTTCAGAGGTTTTGGGCCACTCATGCCCATCTCCTGATTTTGAAGACCTGCAAGAACTCTTGTGACCCTAAGTATTGCAAATATATGCAGTGATGCCCCGCATAGCGAGCGCCCCGTTAACAATGAATCCGCATAGCGATGTGGATTTTGCAATCGCAAAAGCGATCACATTGTGATGGTTTTAATGGCTAAAAATCTCATTGAAATGATCGGTAAGCGCTTCGCTTACCGATTTTTGCATTGCGATATATCGCAAAAGCGATCACATTGTGATGGTTTTAATGGCTAAAAATCGCATGGCAATGATCGGTAAGTGTTTCGCTTACTGATTTTCGCATTGCGATATTTAGAAAACAACTGATCAGCGGTTCCAAAATGGCTGACAGGTAAACAAAATGGCCACCCACAGCGTTTTCGCGCCCTTTCCTCGCTTACTGGGCAGCGAAAATGGAGGATGGAGGATTTCCTCATAGCGGTGATTTTCCCCCCATAGGAATGCATTAAACGGAGTTTAATGCGTTCCTATGGGGTTTTTCGTTCCGTATAGCGACGATTTTCCTGGAACGGATTATCGTTGCTATGCGGGGCACCACTGTATATATATATTACAAATGTCTGTGTGTGCCTTGTAGTGGCCACATTTTTAAAAAACAAAATAAAACGTGGGAGCAGTGGGGGTAGTTATCATCGCCATGCGGGGCACCACTGTATATATTACAAATGTCCGTGTGTGCCTTGTAGTGGCCACATTTTTAAAAAACAAAATAAAACGTGGGAGCAGTGGGGGTAGAGGTACTGGTTGTTCCATAATATATGGCAAACTTGTCCTTCACTCACTCATAGGGTGGAATATGAGTTTTTAAGCCAGGTTTTTTTAAATTTTAAAACTATGTTTTTAATGTGGGGTATATTTAAACCCAAGGTGTGTGTGCTTATGTAGTCCATGGTTCCTATGGGGTTCACTTTTGTTTTAAAGCACAAAACTGTATTGGAAAGGATGAGGAGAGGAACAATAATTCTGTGCTTTACAACTGAAGTTTTGTTTTATGGCCATCTAAATGTGGTGGTGCCAGATCAGAAAGGCCAAGGAGTGAAATTACTTAGCTGAACCACTATGCACTGTTCCCTGTAGGAGAGGTGTTGTTCTAGAAGTGCATGGCTAACTCAGTCTGCAAATTCTTTTGGTACTTTGGACAATTCTAGTTCTTGAAGACCATCAGGAGGTGAGATTAAATGTACAAATTCCTCCTACCCTCTGGTGCATCAGGCCTTCCTCTGAGATAACAAGTGCTTAAAAAGAGAAAAACCTAGCAGCCACACTGGTCACACAATTATTATTTTTTAAAGCAAAAATAATCATTGTCATAGAGTTAGTGATAGAATTTTTCTAAACACCCAATAATTGCTGGTAGAAAAAGACTGCCAGCTCCCTCTAGCTCCCTCTGTTTATAGCTTGTGAGAATGAGGGGCTTTCCCACCTACACTCTCTACTAACATTTGCCTTCTACATCTCTGGAGAAACCTCCTGCTGCCTTTTATATTTATTCCCCAGCTCCTTAGGAAAGGATATTAGTATTGTAACCCTTAGACAATGGGGGGAGTAAGAAAGGAAAACACAATTGAAGCCAGTATCCTGTTTGTAGCAGGCTGTACTTGTTACCCACCCTGATCCTGTTTCCAAGACACAAGAACTGGTGATCACTGCAGACAAAAGACTAGCTAACGACACCCATCAATCACCATGACAGATCATCTCCCCACTTATCACAATATACCCATAACAAAAAACACCATGATCACCATGTCTCATGAAAAGGACAAAAAGCTGATCCCACAGCTAAAAATACTCAACTATCCCACACACTACACCAGAACACAGAGTTCCAACTCCTGTCCTCTGAAGATGCCGGACACAGAGACTGGCTCAACATTAGGAAGGAAAACCTCCAGAACACGGCCAAACAGCCCAAAAAACCTACAACCACCAATAATCATGTGCTTCACAACTGAATGCTAGGCTCAAAGACTTAGTTTCCCAATTTCCATTTTATACAAACGAATGGGCCAGTCGTATCTGAGGCCAACCATCACATAATTACTCTTAATCTGCTTTGAACATTCTGATAAGACAAAGGCATGTCTCCTTCCCAAATCCAAAATCTGCATGCTTATGGTATATACTTATTTTTGGTGGAAATTTTTAAAAAATCATACAAATGGTTAAAAATTAAAAAAGATAGGTTCTGCAGATGTGGAAAGTTTTGTCTTTAAATGATTTTCCTCATTTGTTCCAGCACTTCTTATATCCCTACTCATCAGTCAAAATCTTATTTGCTATGTTAGCCTAAATGAAATAGCATAAACCACAATAGCAAATTGCCACTAGTTAAGTCAATGCTAGTATTCAGTTTCACATATCAACTCATGTGATTCATTTACAAAAAGGAATATAAGCTTCAGCTGATTAACTATGGGCAATTCATCATTATAATTTATTTCATTTGGTTTACACTGCCATATGTAAGTAACAGGATTCTGGCTATTTCTTCCTGCTAACAGTATCCACCTAGTTGGTATCTCAGATGCAACCAAGATGTTTTTCCTGGAGAAAGCCAGACCCTAAGAAATGAGAAGACCTTTACTGGTGACTCAGAAGTCTGACTTTTCTCATTTTGGTCCCCACTGCTAACAAAACACAGCTCTTTCTCTCCTTAGGCCATTTGTGCCCTGTAATATTCTGTGATATCACTGGAGATCAGCCAATGGTCTATAGGTTGGTAAGACTTTAGTTACATTGTTGATCCTTAACATTATTTTGGCTTTTAAAAAGTCACTTGTAGGGCTGATCAATTAACCTATCTTAAAAATTGTAACAAAAATATTCCTTACTTGCTTCTTCTCTTCCAATCTTTATTTGCTTCTTCTTTCATCTCAGTTAATAGAGCACTGGATCAAACAGTGTCAGGATCTAAATATTCCAATTAGTTCTGAGTTCAGTCTTATAAATATTTTGGGAGATCCCTATGAAATTCGACAGTGGAACACCGATGGATTACCACGTGACTATGTTTCCACAGAAAATGGGATTCTTGTAACACAGGGGCGACGCTGGCCACTCATGATTGATCCCCAAGACCAGGTAAGGAATCACTGCAAAGTGTATAGTATATTGTTTTATGTTAATCAGTTATCGCAGCCGGCATATGAATGTACTTTATACTTTTGAAATATCTTATTATTATCTACAGTAGAATAATATGCCGCAAGTATACTTTTCAAAAAGATGAGTACTCTGTTCAAGTGTTTTCCACATTTATCAAGAATATAGAAATAACTGTAAAGTTGGGGTGTGTGATCTTCAGAGGTTTTGGGCCACTCATGCCCATCTCCTGATTTTGAAGACCTGCAAGAACTCTTGTGACCCTAAGTATTGCAAATATATGCAGTGATGCCCCGCATAGCGAGCGCCCCGTTAACAATGAATCCGCATAGCGATGTGGATTTTGCAATCGCAAAAGCGATCACATTGTGATGGTTTTAATGGCTAAAAATCTCATTGAAATGATCGGTAAGCGCTTCGCTTACCGATTTTTGCATTGCGATATTTAGAAGACAACTGATTGGCGGTTCCAAAATGGCCGCCGGGTAAACAAAATGGCCACCCGCAGCATTTTCGCGCCCTTTCCTCGCTTACCGGGCAGC